TGCACTAATTTTGTTTTCCACTAACCCACTATCTCTCAAACTTTCACTATAAAAGAACCTCCTCCTTCCTTTTATCACACTCAAAAACCCACAAATTCTCTCTAGTTTTTCAGTTCATCAAACCCCAAAATAATTATAAAAAAAAATGAGTTGTACAAGGAAATCAGCCTGGATGGTGGCAGAAGCATTGGAGTGGTGGAGGCATTGAAAGATCAAGGGCTTTGCAGGTGGAACTATGCATTGAGATCAGTTCAACAACATGCCAGGGCTAATATCAGACAATATTCTCAGACTAAAAAGCTGGCTACCCAATCTTCTCTGCTTTGTCAAAGAAATCGAGAGATGAGAAGTCGAAAGCAATCTGAAGAGTCACTAAGAAAAGTTATGTATTTAAGCTGTGGGTCCATATTAAACTAAAACCCTTGTGTTATTTTGCACATAATGTCAAATTTCATTAGGAAACTTGGTTCAACTTCTTTTTTCGTTTTCCCTTTCCAGGATTATTCAATGAAAATTTTGGTTTAAAAATCAGAATTGAAGTGCCAATTTATGGTTTCAATCTCAGATATTGAAATCAGTTGAACATATAACCTGTACTTTGGGCTGGGAAAGTAGCCCAAGGAGCTGAAGCATATGATTTCTCATTTTTGCACTTTGGGTGTAGAATTTGGGTATGATGAAAGGAAAATTTAATGGGTAAAACAGTCTTAATTTTGTAATGATGTTCATCATCTTTTGGTTATTGGAAGAATTTTTTTCCTACATAGAAAAAAAAAATTAGCAATTATGAAATGAAATGAAATGAAAGTCCTTTTTATCTTCCCTTGATTGACATAAAATTTGAAATGAAATACAAGGATTCAGGAGGAAATTTAAATATAGCAATAAAAAAAGAGTTCCCATAAAACAAAATATAAATAAATAAAGTAAATTCCATAAATAGGAATATTTTTCTTTATGGTGAATTTTAATCCACAAAAAAAATTTTAAAAAGGGAAAATTAACCCATTTAAATCACAATCATGGAATAGACCTTTTTTTTTCATATATAAATTATTGAATCCAACAAAAAAAAAAGGGGAAAAAACAGTGCAAGTTGATAGATCCAAAGACAAAATTATTCTACCTTTTGCCCCCAACTTAGGAATATAATTACTGATATTTGTCCATTTCTAAGCCCCATTTTTGCTTAATTTTATCTAATTATTTTCTTCTTTTTAAATTTATATTTTTCCCAAAATCGGATGTCAAAGAAATATTTTGGTTGCTGAAGAACGAATTAAGAATTATTATGTACTAAAATAAGCTCAAGTTTTAAAAGAATTTAAAATATAAAATAAATTTATGAAACAGATTTAAGTATAATTTTTAAATTTAATTAAATTGAATTCGATTCAAATAAAATATATAATTAAAATATTATAATTATATAAATATATATTTAAATTTAAATTTTTATACTTTATTTAAAAAAGGGATTTTTTTCAAATCCACCAAATTAATCCTCATTTTTTTTTTTCACAAAAACTACTTCCTAGCTATTACTGTTTAATTTTTACAAGAAAATAAATAGAACCGGACAAGTGGAAACAATAGTCGTTGTCTGGTCCAAACCCTCTAACTATAAATATATAAGTACATTACAAGCCCATGCCGATATTCAAAACATTAAAACCCAACAACAACCCAAACATTCAATGCATTGAAGAAAACTACCTGACCAAAAAAAAATTGTTTTTAGGTCTGATAATTTTTTTGTCCGAGATCTTTTTTATCCAATAATTACTTTAAATTTCTATTAACTCAATTTTTGAGTTTTAATTAATTTAAAATTAAATCAGATCAAATCTCATAAAAAATATAAATTTTTTTAAAGTTTATTTTTTGTTTGCACAAAAAATATCAAATATTAATATTTAAATTTTAAATTTATTAAATATTATTTTTAAAAATAATTACATGAATTAATTAAATTAAATCTTAAATTTTAATTAATTTAATATTAATATTTCTTTTTTATTTAATAATATTTGAATAATCCAAAAATTCCTTCTCGCTAAATTAAAAAATAAACATCAAAACTGATATATAACAGAGAAAGGTTTTTTTTTTTTTTTGCAATAATTGTGAATCATCACTTGCAGTACAGACATGGACCATTCCTTACATATGTTTGGTGACCAATCTATTAGCCAACAAAATGCCCTTCTCATGCAGGCTCAACCTACTCCTCCTGAATTAATATGGTTTTTTGTAATGTTATTGAATAAAAGAAAATTTTGCAATATTTGCTAGGTTGGCATGATAATATTTGAATAGATGTTACAAAGGACATATTCAAGTTCAAGTCATTCTTGAATTCAAATTTTTTTTTAATTTTAAGATTTAAGCTTTAAAATTTTTTAATCAAATTAAATTTATTCGAAGTTCGAACTTATTTTAAAAAGTTTTTTATTATCTCTAAGATGAACCCTAATATATACGAGCTTTAAACGAATGAATTCATTTATGTAAGGGCTATAGTCATTTAAAATATCTTAAATGATTTAATCATATGTATAGAATTGTGTTTCATTGAAACGGTCAATGAATTTGTACAAAATTTTAATTAGGAATGAAACCTTAAATGTCACAACATGAAACATACCTAATTATTTATGAATCTCGTAAGTGAGGCATAAATTTGTTAAATTTACATATAAGAATGTATGATAAAAGCTTGTATTAAAATAATCTAACAAACATGACCAATATAAGAAAAATAATAATAATTAGGAAGTAACAATTATATGATTATTAAAATAAATGTCCCATCTATAAATTATAAATATATTGATCGAGCTAATGCCAAAGTCTGCTCATTAACTAATCCCATAAAAAAAAATTAAAAACTTTACATGCTTGATTGACTTTGTGTAGTGTACAAGTTCAGATGCAATATATATCGATCAAATTTTAAATGTTGATAAGATTTTTAAAGATTACATGTTGTAATGACTTAGATAAATTGTTAATTAAATATTAATTCAAATATCATGTATATTGGTTAAATTTTTAAATATTTGAGTTCAAAAAATTAAGTAAATTATTAATTTAAAATTATGAATTAAAAAATTTAAACAAACTGATCTTTTTATGTGAATTAAATAAATAAAAATTAAGGATTAAATGTGGCTTAAAATTTTTAAAAATAATTTAGTAAAAAATTATAATACTATATCAATTTATTTAGAATTTAAAACCCAGCATGATTTCTTAAAAAAAAAAACCAACATTATTAACGTCAAAAGCGAAATTTGTATTTATTGGCTATGTTTTTATTTTAAAATGTTGACATTATTAAAAAATAAAATTATTTAATAGTTTATTTAAATATTTAATTCCTAACTGCCCAACTAACCCTCCAACAAACATACCAACCTTTATAAATGCACTTCTTTTCATTGTTTAATTTTCACCTAATTTTATTAATCCGTAATTAATGAACTTCAAAAAAATAGAAATAATTATAAATGCACTTCTTTTCATTTTTTAATTTCCACCTAATTTTATTAATCCGTAATTAATGAACTTCAAAAAAATAGAAATAATATTAATACGACGACATTACCATTCAGGAACTCTTTAGCGCATGTACCTTGAAGCTAAAAGTACCCTCAAAACTTTATTCAATGACATGAATACCCCCGATGTACAGTAATGTCAGCTACGGATTCCAAATTGAAATTAACTATAATTAGAAAAAGATTTCAAATCCGACTCGCGTTTAAATTCCGCGATAGTGTGGCCATTGCATGTCCAAAATCAGAAATAAAAAATAAAAAATAAATATTTTTAATTAAAAAAAAAAAAGAGGAAAACCAAGCAAAAGATTCAATTCCTGGAGGATTTTTTAGCGACGACAAAAGGGAGATTTAGTAACGCAACACTCGACGGACTAACTTCGGAGGCTCATGGCGATCGCAGACCGACAGCGGCGGAGCTCCGAGAGGAAGATGTTTAGTCTCTGTCCCTTTTGGCAAACTTCGGCCACGACAAACAACTCTTCCTCTTCATCCTCCACTCAAAACCTCAACCACAACGGCAACCGCCATACGGAGACAGTTACAGCCAAACGCTCGAACACCGTTTCTTCCATTGCCAGATCGTTTCTCCCTCCTCGGCGCCGGCTTCGCCTCGATCCTACTAATAACCTTTACTTCCCTTGTACAAACCCCGCTTTGCTTAACCTTGGACTTTGTAGCTCTTTTTAAGCTAACTTTCTATAATCTTTTGATTTTGCAATTATTATTTTTAATTGTAGATGAGCCTGGAACTCAGGTGAGAAGTGCGATCAGGTTGAAGAACACTAGTAAATCTCACGTAGCTTTCAAGGTAAAATTAAATTATTTGATTATTTTTTATTTACTTCTCTTGTTTTTTACGTCAAAATTTACTGTAATTTTACATAGTTTTCATTCAAAATAATGATTTTTCAGTGAATTAATGCTAATTTTATTTATATTCTCATTGTCCATTAAAATGAGGCTTCTTGCGACAGTTATAACGGTTAATTTCTGAAATTCAATATTAATTTTTACAGTTAATAGCATTATATTTGATGATTTTATTGAATTATCTGGTATTTTAATTAATTGTTGTTTATTTTTTGTAGTTTCAAACTACTGCCCCGAAGAGTTGTTTTATGCGACCACCTGGTGGCATTTTGGCGCCGGGTGAAAGCAGTATTGCTACTGGTAATAAAATTTCTCAGCACAATTTTTTTAGATTTTATTATACTAATTTTGTTTGATTTTGTTTGTATAATGTTTTAGTTTTGATTTGTTGTGGGCAGTGTTTAAGTTTGTGGAACGTCCGGAGAATAATGAGGTGCAGGTGGATTTAAAGAGTAAAGTTAAATTTAAGATTATGAGTTTGAAAGTGACAGCTGGGGTGGATTACTTGCCTGAGCTTGTAAGTTAGAAATTGTTCTTGCTTGTTCTATATTTGCGGGTTTGTGTTTATTGTTTAGTTCAAAGGAGGTCCTTGTTTTGTTAGCAATTCATTAACGTGAATGAAAATTCGAATGGAAATTTTATGGATACTTGTTAAGTTAGCACTGTAGTTGTTGTTCTTATTTGGGTAAAGTGGGATTTGGTTTAAGGGGTTTTTAGTTGTTTGGCTAATTGCTCTAGTTTCATGTGAGGGTCTAACATGCGTTACTAATTGTGGTTAGAAAACACATTTTTAATGAGTTGTCAGCTTGGGATCCTGCTATCTGCTGAATTTGCATTCATTTTGCTCAGCATTGTCCTTTCTTTTCTGACCATTGCTGGGGCAGGGCTTAGTTTGTAGGAAGAGTTATATCATGTTATACCTTGTTTTTGGAAGACCTGCATAATATGAATTTAGTCACAAAATGCAACAGGGAAATGTGGATTTTGGTAGCATTTAATTGAATAGGTAGTTGTAGGATAGAGTTCATTCATGTGAAGTGCTAGATAAATTCAGTTGTTCTGGTTTTGTCTGAAATCAATGTTACATGATTATCAATATGATGCCATGTCTGCTGCTGGGGGTATTTACAATAGATCCTTTAAAGCATAAGATTTTCCTTACACTATTTAAAGTTTCCTTATATTTCTTTTTATTTAATGTCTAATGTGCTTTTTGGTTCTTTATTATTGTTGTTATAATTTGATTGTGTACTTTGTTGGACATGAGATTTATGGTTATACTACTTCATGTTTATGTTTCTAGTTGGATGTTAACCCCTGCCAAACTTAAGACACTGTACTAACACAGGATTTTTTTTTTTTTATGCCTTCTCTTACAGTTTGAAGAACAAAGGGAGCAAGTGACTGTAGAAAGAATTTTACGGGTGGTATTTCTAGATGTGCAGCAGGCTAGCCCTGTAAGTAGAATTGAATTGTTATAGTAGTGTTTTGTTTTTTTCATTGCATAGCTCCTTGATTTACTTCTTGAATGCTTTATAATGCTATTCTTGTTTCTTAAGGCATTGGAGAAACTTAGGCGTCAGTTGGCTGAGGCTGAGGCTGCTCTCGAAGCACGCAAGAAACCTCCTCCAGACACAGGTCCCCGGCTTGTTGGGGAGGGTCTTGTAGTTGATGAATGGGTAATCTACTGTTACAGCATCTGAAACAGTGCTCATTTTTTGTTTTCTTCCAACTTATTTTACTTACATTGATGATTTCTGTGTATTTTCAGAAAGAGCGAAGGGAGAAATACCTGGCACGTCAGCAAGTTGAAGCGGTAGATTCAACATGAAGAGTTGTTTGCTTTGGCTTATGTGCTTTTTTCTTTGGTGGAAAAGGATGCATCACTCTAAGGGTTGAGGGTGAAGGGATGAATCGACAGCCCATTTCCTGTAGAGGAGAACAGTGTGTTCTCATTCCATTATTCATCATATGAACAGTGTAAAGGTCAAGGTACCTGACTCCTAGGCTTTACTTGTAGATAATGGTTTTGTTTTGTCATGAAAATAAATGCAAGGCACAATGCATTATAATATTTGGTTTACATTTTGAGGCTGGAGTGCTTATATATGTTGTAGGTGTTTAGTCTTGTTTTTCTGATGCAATATTGCCTCGTTTTTTCTGATGCAATATTTGATTCAAGTTATAGCCATTGGATTCTTATTGTACCATTCCTTGCACATGTATTTGGACAAGCATGAATTTTGCTCCGTTTTGAAGTGATTTATGTATTTCATTCTGGCTTTTTAGTGATTACCTGTTCTTACCATAAAAAAGAAATGGTGCTAAATTTACTTGTATGACACTGACAATGATTACAGCTAGTGATTTCCGGACAGCATCCAGCATCTTTTTTCTTTTCTTTCCGAACTTTCACACCATAGATTCATTTAGAAATTGTTCAGTCAATCACCCTCATGTTCATTCAGCATTCATGTCTTGATCGTTTAAACTTCATCAATGATTCCTTGTCGTAGTTCTTTTGATGCGGCAATGCTCTTTCTTTTTGTCCTTGGATGTGAAGCAATGAACCATAAATGCCATTGTTGCTTACTCATTTGCATAATTTGCACAGTATGAAATGGAATTTACTTGGAGGGGTAGTTTTATCCTCATCTTTATCTATGCCGCATCTATTAAATTCATGAAAAATTATCTTTTATAGATTCCGAACAGATTTGAACCTCAATCCAGATGAGGGATAAAATTAAATATAAAAGTTGAATAGGATCCACTTACTGAAAAAGTTTTGTTAAATTTATTGGTTGTGGGAGAACTTGTCTTCATTATCCAACACGTTGGCTTTAGGATTTAGCTTATGGACGGTTTAAGATTGTGACATTGAAACCACCGTTCCTAAGAACCACGAATTTGGTAAAGAAAAGCAAAAAAGGATTCGAAGCAGTAAAGGCTAAAGCCTAAGCGCAAAGGGCATTACCCACTTTTTGATGAGCCAAATTTCGTTCACTTTTTTTCATTTTTCTAGTGACATATAAAGATTGTTGCTAAAAATTTTACATTGTTCGAATCCCAAAAAAAAAAAGGGAAATAAAAATGATATTGTATGTAAAAGAGATAATTATATTCTTTATACTTGAAAAAAATTTGTATAAACTGATACTTGAATAAAAAATTTGTATAATTTGTATCTTGAATTTTTAAATAATATATAATTTATATAATGAATTTTCAAATTATGTTTTATATTAATTTAATTTTAATTTTATTAATTATCTTAGCTTATATATGCAATGTTTTATCAATGTCATTAAATTATATATTCAATACACATGATATTAATATTTTTTAATATAAATTAAAAATATTTATATAATTTTTATCTGAATCATAAAAATTATTTAGGATCAATCAATATTTTTTGTCATTGATATTCACATAAAGATTTTTATAAAATATTTATTATTTTTATTTAATAAATAACATATATATACTAAAATTATATTGATTAAATATCATATAAACGAGTTAACTTAAAATATTAAATTTTAAATTAAAATAAGATATTATTTGAAAGTTCAATATATAAATTATATATATTTTTAAAGATCAATTTATATATTTTTTTAAAATTCAAATATAAAAAATGTAATTAATTCTATATAAAATAATACAAAATTTAGTAGTAAAAAAAATTGAAAATTTATACTTTTTTTGGGTTCTATCTTAAAATCATAACTGCAGCTATGCCATATCTATTTTCATGACTTTCTTAATTGAATTCTAGAATACCACTAAAATGGCTCTATAGTTGCCTCGTTATCCAGATCTATTTGTAATGTCCTCGTGACATATCTGAAAGGGACTGCCATAATAGCCCCCAACCCCCTTACAGCTCGCTTACCCATCTTTTATATAAATATATATTTTAATTTATTTGGGTTTTACTAACCTCCTATAAATGTTTGAATCCAAATATTTTACGGAAATCTTCATTTAATTTATAAGATATTATTTATTTTAATTTAAAAATTTTATAATTTTTTTTATAAAAAATATTTTATAAATTTATATTTATATTTATATATCATAATAAAATTTTAAAATATATCGATATAAGATTAAATATCATAAATTTTTTTTCGTTAAAACTTGAAGTTTTTATCAAGTTCAACAATAAATACATACAAAACTACTAAATCAAAATCATACTAGAGATTAAAATTTTAAAAGTAATTTTTATATATAATATTTTAACTCTTGTAAGATTCAAAAATAACTTTTAATATAATACTTAACTCACATTTGACTGATAATTATTTTGATATCATTTATGAATATTTATATGTAATTTATGAGATATTATATACTTTTATTTATAAATTTTATTATTTTATCTCATAAAAATATATCATAAATTTAAATTTAAATCTTAATTCATATATTATAACATATATTTAAAATACCTCGATATAAAATTAAAATATCACACGTCTCGATACTTTATCTTCAAAGGAGTTATTGGTGAACACCAGGTTATACTACATGCAGACGTGCATAATCAAGGGTCCAATTCTTAAGAGAAATAAAATCCTGAAATCATTGTGCTGATATGTGGAAAATTAGGTTTAGGCAGAGTATGTTACCCTTAATCAGATTATAAATAAGAAGTTCAAAAAGATTTTACATAGTCTTAAAATCCAAATGAAAGAAAATTTGACAATTTTATTTTATGAAATGAACCATGGTTAAGTCTTATCAGTTTGGTCGAGAAACTCGTGTAGGGTGGCTTTAAGATATATTCTATGTCATATCTGGGGAAATGGGTAATAATGATTTCTTCAAAACGGTGTTACTGATAGGGACCTGTTTTCTGGAACATTGCTAAAGTAATAGCCAGAAGGAGAAGAAGACAAGAGTGACAAAAGGACAATGCTGACAGAAGAGACAAAAACGAGGCTGTTGTTTAGTCCATGTTCACTCCCTTGCTCAACTGGCCCTGTTGATGTCTGCTTGAAAGGAATATTGATTAATGATGTCATCTTCAAGATAAAACCAAGTGCTCTATAATTTGAAAAGAAAAAAAACTTATTATTTCTTAAGAAAAAAGGTAATATCAAACAAAGTTGATAAGATTAGAGCCTCATCCTTGTGAACAGGATTCGGCTTTTTGTTATTTAATGGTAAAAGATTTTTAAATTTTGTCATATATATTTTATCGATTCAAATAAATTTATGAAAAATTATTTTATCATAATTTCAAGATGAATTTTAATTTAAATAATAAAGAGTACAAGATCCTATTTTATCACTTGAACCAATTATCTAATAAGGAGGAAATTAGATTCAAACAATACTTGATATCTTATTGTCTTTAAAAAAAAAAAAGTTGGAAGTTTTCCAATTGAGAACAAATGGTATGATGACTAAGCGAACATAAATCTTTTAAGTTGATGGGAACAACCTCCAACGGGTTCATGGGGGTAATAGAAATTCTTGTTTCTTACACTGAAAAGAAGTGTACAGAATTTCATGATAAGATTTTGGTTGATTAACTGTGCTAATCATTTCAAGATTTGATTTATGTCTATAAAACTATTGTTTCATGGGGATTAAATGGTTTAATTACAGAGTTTTTAGTGATTGGTACTCATGGAAATGTCTAGGGGAATTTACACCTTTGCCTATATCCATACAGTTATATCCTCCACTTTTCCAAAAGAAGGAGCTGCTGGTTTTTGCCTGTGGTTTTTATATCTCTTATCTATCAACTTGCAATCTTATTGTCTTTTATAAGTGCAAAGCCATGTTTCAGACATTAAGCTCATGATACCTTAAATTCAAAATCTTTTAATGTTTTCATCGCTCAGAGTTTCCTTCTGATTCTATTCTTGAAGTCTGAAATGATGCCTACAAAGAAGGCATGTATTTTTGCTGCAATGGGAGCTGCAATTATACTCAAAGATGATAAGATGGAATCCCAACCATCTCCTCTCAAGCCAAAGTTGGCAGAAATTGGATCATCCATGAATCAAGTTAAACTCATTTCAGGTATGTTTTATGGACTAAAGAAGTTCATCATAGCCAGGGATGAGGGGCACCAAGCAGCAGAGGACTCTCTAAGGATGGTTGTCTATTTGAGTTCTTGGGGACCCTATTGAGTTCAAATCTTGGTCCTAGAAAATAAATCAGTTAATCTGTGCTGAAATTTCTGTTTATACAGCAAAGGAGAGCAAGATATCCAATGTTCAGGATGAATACTTATTCCAGGAAGGTTTTACAGGCAAGTGAACTTGAAAAGTATGGCTACAATCTGAATGTTTGGAAATTGTATATATTTCCTATTACAAAGAAAGAACTGCTCTTTGTTTTTGCATTTAGCATTCGAAAGTAATGACTCAAATAGTTCAATAATATAATGAACAAAGGTGTTATATAATGAATGCAAATGTTTCTCTCCATATCCTAAAACATAAAACCAGGAAATAAGAAATGGAAAACAAAAGTAAAAGAAATGAAATCAATACCTAAACACAACACATCCTGTACATAATTGCCTAAAAGTTGTAGCCAGAACACAATACTTCATTAATTCAATATTTTTCACATATCATCTGGCAGTTGAAAGTTCTGTGAACCGAAAATTTGGTGGGAGCTGTTTTGAACGAAGACAGCAATAGCACATTTGTTGCTATTGAAACCATCCCATAGAGAAAAAGTAACAGTCCCTGAGACTGTCTTCTTAGCAGAGATGTCTTTGACAGTGCAGAGCTTCTCAAGCTTCCTAACCACAAAATCATTGGATAGGACTTTCCCTTTGTTCTCTCCTTGAGGGCAGTCATTCACCAATCCGTTCTCGTATAACGCCACCATGACATTGACACCATCGTTGTCCACCTTAGACCTCAAAGCTCCTGTTAGGTTCACTTGCAAGGTTTCTGATGTAGGCCTTTGGAAATTTGCCTGTTCAGACATAATTTGCATGATGATCACTTTTAACCTCTATTTTATATATCAGAAGAATTAACTGGTTCTTGTCATTGAAGATTAACATAAATTGCAGAAACAGATATTTGCTATACAATACTTACTAGGCACAACCCATTTTTCATTTACAGAATACAAGCATTAGTATTACTGAGTTTATATTTTTGAGCCTTTAAATGTGAATTTGTGTTAGGTTAGACCTATGGTTTTCTACTAATAGCTGCCTTGATCTTGTAGTTCAACAACATTAACAGCAGAATGGAAATGGAAAATTTCTACCCCAATGGCCATAGTTTGCAGATGATTTATGCACTCCGCAAAGAGATGAATGGTGAGAGATGTCCGGAAGGCTGGATTAGGAATGAGTGTGTAATAACCCATTTGCTATTTATTGCATTAGTTCAGAAAAAGATACTATGGGGAACCTACCCATGTGTTCCTTCCACCTAGATTTATTATTGCTTACCAAACTCAGCTCAACCATTTCATTGTAGGGACTTTATAATTTATTTTCTCTTCATTTGATGCAAAGCATAAGATATCATGCTTATTAAATCAGTGGTACATTGTTAATTTAATGGTTTTCCAATATTTAGATATTGTACTTCCATTTTTCCTAAAGCCTATAAAATTTCCATTATGATTTCATGATTTCCTACCATAGTTCCAAGATGCAAGTCCATGAGTTAATAGTTTCAAAAAAAAAAAAAAATTCATGAGTTAATTATTCCATTTCAGAGAGGATCCATTTCCTAAAATTTCTACATTTCTACATTTTTTCCTTTCGCAGAGTCCAGATCATGACTAGGAATAACATCATAAAGTGTAACAAATGGCTAGATCTAGAATTCACTCAATACAAGCATAGAACAAAAATGATAAGCAAAAAATAGAAAAAACAATACACACCTGGAACGTTGGAGCAGGAAACCTGGGAGCACCAGCAATGGTGGATAGCAAAGCATCTTCATCATTAGGCACACACTGAGCCCTGCCTTGAACCACAACCTGTGGAGTAAACATGGTGTCAAGTCTCAAGGCCTCTACATAAGCCTTTTGTCTCACAGTCCATTGGCTTGATCCATAAGGGTCTTTCCACCCCATGTAATCCCAGTAATCAACATGATAAGCCAACACAATCACCGGTGCATCCAGCTGAAAATCCCCTCTCCCTAGCCTGGACAAAAGCAGCTCCGCCGCCGGTGACGTAGCACATCCCTGTGAAGAGAACAACTCCACTAGGATTGGCCCTTCAGCTGATGATGATGCTGGCGCTTCAATTACCGTTCCATTGGTTTTTCCATGTGCATGGACTTCATTTTTTGATGAAGATGATCCCCTCCCAAAACATGCAAAGAGACGACGCGCCATGTTTAACCTGGTGCTCGTCTCTCTTTTAGCCCTCAGGGGGTGCCCTAATGGTGGTCTATCAGCTCACAGGGAAGGGAGAGAGATTGATCAGAATGTGTATATATTAGTAAATATGTGATATATGAATGCAATAATATATTTAGTAATATAAACAGAAAAGAAAAAGAAAGTTTTTTGGGGAACAAAGAAAAAAAAAAAAACAAGAGTTTTTATTATGGTAACCTGAAAGAATGGTAGGGAGGGAAATGTGGCGAAGAAGATGCTAAGAAGGGTTGGAGGGTTTTGAATATTTCCTTTTATCAATGTCCTTAAAATTGTATACTTTTTATTACTATCATTATATTTTTTGCATGGGTGAAGACAGGTGGAGGAATCATGTTGTACACCGTTGCGTTATCGACACGAAAGTGTCGGTGACACGTTGTCTTTCTGTCAAGATTGGGTTGGATGTCAGTAGGGATTGAGCACCAGCACCAACAGCCTAACAACAACGGCACCTTTTGGCCTTAAGAGGAAAGGGTGACAAAAAAATCTTAACAATAAAGAAATGAAGAAATGTTTATCAGGAGAACAACCTTGTAAGATTTTTTTGGTTGGAGACAGTGGAGAAGTCTTTAACATTTTGGTTGAGTTTCCTGTCATTGTTTCTGATTATACCATCCTAGCATAATAGCTACTACTAGATTTGCTAATTGTTTGATTTGTTTTTGAGTGCAAGTGATTGGGTGTTTTGGATTGCAGATCTTATAGATTAAGTTAAATAATTGAGAGGCTTAGGATTTCAGTAGAGCTGGCAATGGCATTCCCTGTTAACTGTTAAGTCTCCTCACATTCCTTCATGGGCTTGTATGGTTAAGCTTTGGCAAAACTGAAAATTTTGAAGCACCCAACGTACCCATTTGGCCCATTCTTTTAGAACAGTTGCTCATTTTGCCGACAGAAACCAAAGATTCATATCTAAAACCAACCCAAATAAAAAGAGAGAGAGGTTATAAATTAGGATCTTTGTTTTTTTTTTTTTTTTTTTTTCTAATAAACATGGTGAGGAGTAATAGGGAACTTTGGCTAATTGATATATTAATTTGATATGAAATGTACTGTTCAAAAAATTTTTGATATCAAAGTTTGTCATGAAAGCTATACTATATTTTTTTTTTAGTAAAAATTTATGCTACTCGAACTCGGGTGAAATGTTGGATATAGGTATGTGCTTGATTCCCTCAATTTTTTCTAAAGTTTTGTTTTTTAGTTTTTATTTTTAAAGGGTTGAATCTGGAAACAGTCTATTCATATGAGAAAACTCTTTTAAGTAGTCTTCAACTTTGCTGCTTTCTCTTCTAGCTTGGTTTGTTTTCCACCTTTCTTAAGGTTCTAATATCCAAAAATTTTGAGGTGGGAGATTCTGTCTTGTTTGCCTTCCTTTCTCACAATTTACTAATGATTAAATGTCGTGACTTGCTGATATTTGACAATCTGGCATCTCCCAGGGCTTTGGACGGTGAACTTTGGCATTTTTTTTCTTGTCCATTTCTTTCAAAAAATTTTCACATGAGATATTAGCACAAGTTACTGCACGTGGCATGAATTTATTTGAACCATACATTTCTGTAAAATCTTCATGAACATTTGAGATTGATGTAGAAAAAAAGTTTTAGTTGACTGCAAGATTGAGGACATGAAAAGTCAAGATGAACCTGGTTTGCCGAATATGGTAGTTAACCAAGAAATGATTCTAGTTGCACTTTCAAAGGGCTCCAAATACCATGATTTCTCACTTCTTTTGCCCCAGAAAATTACTATTCGAGGGTCTTGTTAGTTCATCATGGCATTGTTCAATCTAGGATCTTCATTGTGAAGTTAAATTTTTGTGCGGATTAAATGATTTTTCAATTCGAATATTTTTTAAGATTGTACGAATCTTCAAATCCTTCGGCTGACATTTGGAGTTTTATATTCTTAGTGTTTGCGTGCCATAAGATTTGTTTAATTCCATCGTACAATTATCCTACTCACTAATTGACAAATTCTTAGGTCTCAGTTGATTAATCTAATTAAGCAAGTTCACTGGCCTCTGAGCCATATTTTACCAGACATCAGCCATTGAGCCTTGATGTTAGAGTTTGAGGGCTTCTGTTTGTAACATTGACAATTAAGAAATGGTGGCACTGTTCTTTCTCTCTCAAACATTGTCACTTGAACTTGAAGGCAAGAATTAGAAGAGAAGCGAAGCAAAAATAAGATTCACCCTCCACAATATTAGGAAAACTTTTTAGTCCTTTCTTAGTCCAAATTAAGGGTTTACATTTGATTGGTTTCCCCACGAAAAAGACTTCATTGCACCACAAAAAAAGGCTAATATCTTGAAACTTAGCATAATAACATGTTGAGAGTAGCTTAGAACCTAAAAAATAAAGTCGCTTGACAGTCTATATTACTTGAATAATAAGTGGATGCTGATCTCTCTCCTCAGTGGCACTTGGATTTCCATTATTTTTCACAGTAGCCAACAGATTGAGAAACTCGAAAACCAGATTAGAAAGTTGGGGCCATATCAATTTGGCTATTTGCTCATTGCACTGTCCCTGGGACCTAACAGATTTGTTCTTTAGCAGAAACTTAACACTTCTCTGGGATTGTTTATTTACTTGAATCATGCTTGACCAATAAACTCAATATCTCATTGTTTACAATGGATTAATATTCTGGTGCACAACACTTCAGTCAAATCCTCCCTAATTTTCCCAAGAGGAAAAGCCGCATTTTACAGAACTTGTCAAATAAGACTACGAACATCATATCTGGCTGCCTCACACATGGCTAAATCCTACTGATTAGCCACAAGGAAAATTCCACTTGTACGGGATAAATGGGACCATGATTTTATTGTAATTTTGCGTGACTAGCCTCAATCAAGCCTCCCTTTCCCTTGCATTCCATGTGCTGTTCTCCAAAGCAGTGGCAGGCTTACAAGAATTGTAGAATCAAACACGGGTCCACTAGGTTTCTGCAGTATAGTGGCTCTTCAGCATAATTCCACAGAATCTGTTAGTGGCCACAAGCATAGAATCCTTACGTGGTTGACCCACTTGCAGTAGCCACTTTATTCCAAACTGAAAATAATCTCCACCACTACTTGTAGTTAATCCATAACTCAGTATAAATAGGCTCATTTTGCTCCATTGTATCAGCTCAAACTTTGTTAGAACAAAACTTTTGTGAACTTCTTGCATATTAACCATGCTGGAAGGCAAGGCAGTCATTGAGAGACTGATATGCTTCAAACCATGCAGCAGGATGCTCTTCATCTAGCCGCAAAAGCCCTCGACTTCTTCGATGTCACTGAAGCTACTGAGATAGCTCGCTTCATAAAGAAGGTAAAGTAACAAGTAGACAAGAGTTCTATTTTAGTCAATAGACTGTCATGGATTGAACTCTGGTCACTGAAACTAAGAGTTGAACACTCTATGTCTTCAAGTTAATGGAAATTGTACAATTTTGAACAAGAATGAATTGGTTCATAGCAGACTGAACCAATTCCATTCCATCTGATGTAGTCCACAATATTTTGTCCTGCCTTGTTCATGAAGGCTTTGTATTTTGGATGCAGGAATTTGACAGAACATATGGACCTCGGTGGCAATGCATTGTTGGAACTGATTTTGGTTCATTTGTGACACACTGCTCTGGCTGCTTCATTTTTTTTACGTTGGCAGCCTCGCAATTTTGCTTTTCAGGGGTTCTTCTGTTCCAGAAGCTGAGCCAAACCAGTTTTCTGCTTTCGAGACAATGAAAGCATAGCATTTACTTATATTTCTTTACTTCTTGTACCAACTTTAGTTGTGTAGTTCAGAAATATATATTTTCATTAAAATTAAAGCATAGAAGCAAAGAAGGAAGAGTTTCAACTTCAGCAATCTGTGTTTTTCCCTTTTATTCTCCACTTTCTTTCTCATTGCCTTTATTGGCATAGGATTGTGCATCAGAAGTAATTTGTGCAGATGAGATACTCTTAATTACCAGATGATTACAAGTATTTATGCTTGTAATCATTTCATCGAACAACGCAAGACATAAAATCCAGGCCAGGAAAGTTAAATTCCAGGTTTAGGCTATGGCCTAGCCAATTCAGTAATCTTGGAGAATATTAAGTTAGAAGCAGCATTCATTAAATAACTATGGCAAGCCGTGGAAATACAATGATGGACTTCTAAATGGAGGAATTGCAGAGGCTGTTTCTTTTCCTAGGAGATGAAGAAAATATTGGTTTCCCAGCAATGAATCATATCCATTTATCTAAAAAAAAAAGCAAAATGCAGTTTTTAAATGTGGATAAGAAAGTGTCCAGGTCTCAAATTTATCAACCATAGAATCTATTTCCTCATTTCCTGAAGTAAATGCATGGTAGTAACTTTCTTTGACCAAAAAAAAATTGGTGAAGCAATCCTGGTAGTGTCAGCTAGGTGAATTGATTGCTGCAATAAGAGATCAGGATTTATCTGGACTGTCCATATCCATATGTTATATGTGCTTTCCTTGAAATATTTTCAGGACAGTAGGCAATAACAAGAGGAATATTGTTCAAGTTTTAACAGTGCAAGTGGTATAGCAGGATTAGAAAATTTATCCTAGTCTTTCTACTAAAATTTATCCTTTTTTTTTGTTTGCTTTTATAAGGTTAATGTAAGATAACTCAACAACTAAAACAGAGAGCCAACGGTCTTGTGATTTATTGGCAGAGTATTAGACTTTTAGTTTTAACGATTCGGGTTTAAATCCTTGCCTGCATTTTTATAGAACAAAACCACAGGCCGAATCAAAGTAAACAATAGTCTCATACTCAATCAGGTCATTACAGGTGGTATCCGAGCATGTACTACTCTAAAATACAGGAACAAAGAGGACTTTCAGAGCCTACAGCTGCACTTTCATCAAGTAAATTCCACATTTGACACATCATTTTTCACCCTTTCAAAAATCAATATCATCTTGATTTGGCTTTGGTGAAGTCAACATAGCTGTATAAAGCCTGAGCCTGTCCTCCCCCAATGAGTTACTCCTCGACAAAGGTCTCCGGGGCCTAATAAACGACAGTGAAGTAAGCGTTAACCGGTGCTTATACCTCCTCCAGGCCAACTGAATTGCCACAGCTGCCCAAGTCCTCCACCCTGGAGAGTAATACCTTGCACTCCTCTTCACTCCTTCCTTAACAAACGTGTATCGAAAATGTTGTGTAACATATTTAACATCTTCAGCTTCCAGGCCAAATGCCTCGGTAGTTTCAAGAGTTACAAGTGTTGAAGTAGATGGTGGCAGTCTTTCGATAAAGGGTCTCCGAAGACACCATGACAAGAGCTCATCACCACTGAAATTTCCAGGGCCTAACATACAGCAACTTTTGACACCATCTCGGAGAACTTGGCTACTTTGGAGATGTCCCCTTACTACAAATAGCATTCTTTGCACAGGGTCACCTTCTCTAGTTATCTACATTAATATCAATGAGTAAGAACACGTTTTCTTGTTCAAAATTAGTCTTTGATGATTGATTTAATTCGCCTATGTTGATCTGACTTTTTTTTTCTTTAAATATTCGTGTCCAACACAAATCCTACGGACATGAATGTGGAAATTCAACTCTAAATATAAGTAAAAATTTACAAAAAAAATGCTAATTTACTTATATATTTTTACTTGTGTGCCTATTCCATTTCTCAAAGAAAATCAAATTGGAACTTACAGTTTCTCCTTTGGTGAAAATTAGGGACTTCACACGATCACAAATATTCTCTAGGACCAAATCATCCATGTGTTGGAATAATGGTACCTGAAAACAAAGTCAAAATTATATTAGAAACCAATTTTGGTTCAGTCTCTGATCCAAGCCCAAATATTGGACATGCTTTTCTTAACTTCTTGTTGGGTCTGTTTTGGAACAAATTTCTGTAGATTTGCTGTGCTATGGGCTGTTGGGCCAATAATTTGACTCTGAAACAACAGAAACATGATTTTTTTTTTTTTTTTGTTTTTCTGAGGAGCATGCTATTTTAATCTATACTGTCAGCTAATTTCATAAACTAAATTTGTTATTCTATTAATAAATTTAAATTAACTTTTCTTAAGTTAGGGAAAAGTTATTTTCTATTGTATGATGCTACCCCAGAATTTTCTTTTTTAAAAAATATATTTATGTATATAATATCAAAAAGTAAAATAATTTTTTTGTAAGGACAAAAAAAAAACTAGCTGAATAATAAGAAAAACGTGAAAAATATTATATTCTTTTTCCAAATGCCATAGGTGGGATCCTCCCGAAAATATTCAATAAAAAATCATGCCATTTTGATTATGTTACAATTATTTTTTCATGTACCTTTATGTCAGCGCTACGATATGCATTATTTGATTGATTAAAAAAATTTAATGATAAAATGACGTGATGTTATAGTAAATTTTTTCTACCAATTATTCAAATAAAGCATTAATTAGTTTTTAAAATTCGATTCCTTCTTTGTCCCATAGAAGATGAAATTTAGTGCAAAAGTTTGAAATTCCAAATTTAGGGATAATATCTCTATTTTTTGGTCTTCCTCCTAATTGAGTTTTCATCATTGAATTCTTTGAAAGTGATGAATGGTAGTAGTATTCTTTTTTCATTATTTTAAGCTAAATTTGTCCCAGGAAGGGAGGATTTTGGTGCTTATAATTTCTATTGATTAGGGTGTTACCTGTCTAACTAAATCCAGGCAAAGATGGTACTTGATATCTCTCCTAAGCCCCTCAGGGAGGTTTCTGATCATCTCACATTCATCAACACCGCGCATCGCTGCCCACCGTTGTCGCTCATAGTTCCGGACCCTCTGCCGGAACCCCGAAGGAAGTCGCCTCTTCCTCATCCACCACTCTATATTCCTCATCTTCAGCTGCATTGCTTGTTTCTTTGACGTAGTTGCATGCAAAAACACCTACATACACCAGCCATACAAAAGATAAAATAAAACAAATAATACAAACACATATTTTAATCCAATTCCTTTTCTTTTTACTTATTATGCTCGAAATGAAAAGTGAAAAGCTAGTTTTAGGGTGTGGGTCTAGTATGAATGTGGGCTAGTGGAAGAATGTCAGATTTTTTTATGTAAACAAAATTGTCCTATGCATGCCTGAACGTGAAATTATTTAATGATTGTACAATATCACAAGGACACACAGAATCCTAGATGGGTTCCACCACCTGATCTTGGCAGCCTTTCGTTTTATGCTTTGGTCAAAACCAACATTTTCTCGAGGCCTTAGTGCATATGTTACATCTACTTCAACTTCACTGTCATCACCATCGATATTTCTGTTTTTGATTGCTCAATGCTGATATCAATTATCATTATCTTTAAAGTCCCTTAATTTTTACCGTTAATCTAATATTTTTAACTATTAAGATATTGATTACGAGTTATTTCAAATTTAAATCATTTTAAGTTTTATTAAAGGTGATAGATGAGCAAAATAAAAAAGTTTGAGTTCGATTATTTCAAATTTAAATAATTTTAAATAATAATCAGTTCATGGGATCTTTTCAAATCCATATGGCTTTGAGTTCATATTATTTAGGTTAATTTTTTCTTTTTCTTAGAATGAATTTAATTCAATTTAAATTTATATTCAAATTCAGACTCATTTTATCCCTTCTAATTTTACTTTTTACATGTGCAGTTTATTAAAATATATTTAAAAAAGTAAAAAATAAAAATCAAGAATAATAATTTTTCTTTTGTACCTTGATGTTTCCAATCAACATCGTGACCAGGAGGAGTCCACTTGTAAGAACAATGATGTTGAAAACAACTTCTAGCCATTCTGTTGTGCTCTCCAAATTCCCAAAAGTGCTGATCATTTACACACAAAAAAAAAGCTGGTTTAATAAAAGAAAATAAAGGTCCTGAAGTGAAAATTTCAAGCAAACTTAAAGAGATTGAGAGACTGAACCTGAGAGTCATGAGACCCCAAAAGATAGGAAAAAGTATTTTCTCAAGGCGACTATCATTGGTTACAAGCTGAACAGTCCATTTATAAGCTCCATAATCGTAGTTATCAGTACTATCAATGCATGTACTTCTTGCTTGCTTGTTTTCTCCCCAAACCAGCCTTGCTTTATCCCTCACCATTTTACTTGTTCCATAGTAAATTGGCTCTTTGCAAGCCAATAGTCTCAGGTCACAACCCTCCACTCCTCTGCATTGCTCTTTTAAGCATTTTGCTGACCTTTGGATCCCTAGCAAGTACCAGCATGCCCCGGCCGCCTGCACCGGACCGATTAGAGAGATAAATTAAAAAAAAAAAAAAGCTTGAAATAGTGAAAAGATTGAATATTTTTTTGCACTGTAGTAATAGTTCAAGGAACATTTTTTTTTTATGCATTTGGAGAGCATATTTTTGTTATGAATTGCCCAGGCATTAATTCCCAAAAGTACTTCTAATTAAAATATATAATTTCAGAAAAGGACAACTACTTGAAATTATACTAAACTACTGAGAATATATCAACCCTTTGAATGAATATTTTAATAGATTTATTAATTAATTACCAATATTTTTACCCATCTTTTCGGAATTAAAATTCCATAATTTCATATGGACCACAGGGTATGATTTTAATAATTTGTTTTCTCCTAATCCCTAACTTTTTCCTCCTGCATGAATCACGAATTAACAAATGGGGAATCAAAATATTAAAAGTAGTGTAGCATTTTTCACCTTTGTGAAACTTTTTTTTTTTTTTCACTCCCCTTTTGTGTCTGATCTTTTTTTCATCTGTGAGAATAAGACAAAATTATTTTGGCCATATGAAAATGTCATGACGACTCAAAATCACTTTATCAACCCACGATTGCTCAAACTTCAAATTTAAAAATTAATTATTCGATTATTCTCCCACTTTCCATTTAAAAAGTTCGAGGGATATTCTTCCACAATCACTTCAAAAAAAAAAAATTGTTCCCTAAACTTTTGATCCTAATGACAAAGAAACAAAATATCATTATGTTGTAAAAGATAAAAAGATCGATTCACATAATTATTTTTAAAAAATAATATTTAATACGTTTGATGTTCAAATTTTAATATTTATAATGATTCTCTTATTATTATTAAAGTGCAATGGTTTTTATAAAAAAAATCATGATTTTAAAACAAAAGAGTAAGACTATGCTATTAAACATTAAATTAACTTACATGCGAGGCGACAAAATAAGCAATCATATTGAGAGCAATCCCCCACCAAACGGTTCCAAAGATGTAGCCGGAAAGGCTTTGCATTCGGCGTAAGAGGCAAACGGAGTGGTAAATCTTCGGAAGGTATTGGAAGAGGAAGATGATCAAGAACACCGTCATTACTAGGGTTATCGATCCTCTTTCCAACAGGGATGGAATTGCCACCCATAGTACAATCTACTTCACATTTCAAATTCACGTTAGGCACAAGTATTCGATTTTGTATAATATATAATGCATGTTTATACTAATTAATTTTTCATTTGTTTTAATTATATGTACTCGTGTTCGGCATTTCTTAATAAATAATTTTAATTTTTTATTATTTAATTTTAAAATATTAATATTTTAAATATTAATATATTTTTTTAAAAATTTCAAGTCATTTGAATATGAGATGAATAAACTTTTTGATTTTTGAATTTTGAATTTTGAATTTTGAGTAATTAAAAGTTTTCAAAAATCAATCAAATGTGACCTAACGCTGACTCATGGACTCCGTTTAATCAATTAAACGCTTAACGTTACTCAAAGAAACAAGGGAGGCTGAGCCAAATTAAAAATGCTTTGTATCTTTAATTGTTTTAATATCTAATTTTTTAAAATGAAAAAAAAAAACAGTTAAACTCAATCTTAATTTCTTGCTTAATGTCATATTTTTCGGTTCAAATTTTAAAATTAAAAAAAAAACTAAAAGAGAAAATTTGTTTATAAAATACTTTTTTTTTGTTTTATTATGGAGTATTTTTCTAACCATAGGTTTGTAGTTCCTATCAAATCAAGGCACCCTATGCATGTAGCACGTTAGAGTTCCACTTAAATTATGATAATAATAGTAGTACGTTATCTCTTTTGAGAGACTAACATTTTGAAATTTTACCAATGAATTATAGTTAAGTGATATCAAAGTCTGCTAGTGTAATTTATTAATAAAATATTAAATTTTTAATTTTAATAATTAAAAAATATATTTTTTTTGATAATTTTAAATATAAAAAAATTAGAATTTGTTCTAAAATTGTAGGTCTCAAATTTAAATCCTAATTATATAAAAACAAAAACAAAAACAAAAAAACTTCTTGAAAATTTCCCTAAAATTAAAAATATGATCAAATTAAAATAATGATGTAATTATAAAAAAAATGCATATATATAAAATAAAAGCAACAAAAATAACAAATACCAGTAATAATATTGCAAAAAAAAAAAAATCTAATCTTCTGTCACTAATTAAGATAATTGAAAATAATTGCATAACGCAGCATTTAGATGAAAAGTTTTAAATTCCAATATTGGAAAATTTAATATTTGTAAATTTATAATTTCTAAATTAAATTAAGAAAAATATCATAGGAAAATTCATCATGGATGTGGCATATGGGGCTCATAGTTATGCTAGAGAAAATCAACAGTGACCAAAAGCATATATAGCATATGTTATCAACCATCCAATCTAAGGTTTAGTGATTATTATCTTTTTTTATGGATTGTCAATTTACAAAGTAATATTCTATTTTTCTTTAAAAAAAAAAAAGAGAACTATTCATAATGTTTAATTAGCATGATAAATATATTTTTATGATGAGAATTAAATTCTATAAAGGGTTATATTCCTTTATATATTTTCAATCTTACTAATAAAATTAACAAAATTGCATTTCATTTCTAATAAAAGATAGAAATAATTGAATTCTCCCCTAAAGTCACCACATCTTAATCAACAAAACATTTTTTAAATGCATGGCCAATAAATTATGATCAAAACATTAAAAAAATGACAAATTATATCAATGAAAGATTAAAAAATCTTTTGAACTATTTATTCTTACAATTATACCCTTCCCAAAATTGAAAAAAAGGACATAGTTACATGACATGTTTGTGTAATGTCCAAGGGGTATCCCTTGCATGCATAAAAATGATTAATGGCATGCACTTGTCATCTTTTCTAACACTAGTGTACAAAAATACATTGAATCAAGAATCATGAAAAAATCTTACCCTCTCTATCACATTAATTAATGAGACATTAGTTTATAAATATTTGTTAATGATATTAATTTTCTATATTAATTATAAGATTTTTTTAACTTTATAAATTAAATTTAAAGATTGACATATATAATTTTAATATATTTGTGTTATTATGTTAAAATTTAAAAATTCAATTAATGATAAATAAGATAATTTTTTTAAAAATATAATTTAAGATAATGATGCAAAATTATTTGTTAATAAAATTTAAGTTACCTGGGGTAGAGGTAGGATTACTAAGAGATCAAAGAAGAATCCCTTCTTGGCTTTCAAGTACTTGAGGGCCACGTGGCGAGTATTCATGCCACTTCTTTCTCCTCTTCCTTCACCTTCATCTGCGTCGTCGTTGGGGCGGTATGATAGTCTTTTGGCCATCTTTAATTGCAGCCACATGTTCCACACGTGCAACGCGTCGGTCATGCAGCGGAGAACAGTCACGGTGATGGCGAACCACCCGTCGACGAAGAGGCACATACACGTTTCGCTTATAGAGAGAGCGTAGAAGAACAATGGGTCCACAAAGAGGCCCGTGGCACACACAAGGAGGAAAACCCTATTCCATTCTTGAACCCATTTGGCTCTCGGGTCCAAAACTTGCCCCAACGACCACCCTTTCCGGCGAGGACCGCACATATACAAGCTTCTGCAATCTTGTGAGCTTTCTTCTTCATCTTCTAACAATTCTTCTCCCATTTCTTGTTCTTGTTCTTCTTCTTCATCTTCGTCTGTAAAATATTGCATGTGCGTTGCACGTGAAAGTGAAAATTCTCCTTCACTTGCCATAGAGAAAGAAAAAAAAATTGAGCTAGTGAGAGGTTGCCACTTGAGAGAGGGAATATAAGCAGGAAATTGTTGGAGGGGTGGATTGAATCATTGAAACGTGTATCAGAAAGGACATAATAATTGGAGTGGAACTAAGGGGAGACAGTAACGTATGTACAGACAAATTTCTGAATGTACTTTAATGCCCTTGACCCATCATGCATTTTTTCTTCAATTTTCAGTCCTGAGATTTTTTTTTTTAATTTTTAGTTAACCCCACAAAGAATAAAGGGAAATTAAATGGTTTTTGTAAAGAAGGTATTATCTCTCAAGTTTGTTAAATATTGAATTTTTTATAATTTTATATTTAAATTAAAATTTTTATAAATTATCAATTAATTTTAAAATTAAAATTTTATTTTATTGTTCTTATTTGTTTTTTTTTTTTTTTAATTTATCACGTGATAAATTTTTATCTTTATCTACTTGATGGAGTCTATTCGATATTATTTCACATACGTTAAATATTGAAATTTTTTATAATTTTATGTTCAAGTTAAGTTATTTCATATGTTGCCAATTGATTTTAAATTTAATTGATTTTAAGTTTAATGTTTGACTAGTATGATATATCTAGGTACACCCAAATCTTCTGTTAATTCACTTAGAAAAGATTAAAAAAAGAATAAGATTCATTGTATAACAAAAAAAGGGGAAAAAAATGAAACTTCTGCTAGCATATGCAGTGTATAAGTACAACTTTTTCTTATAAAATATTATTAGAAGAAGAAATATAAAGCCATTAGCTTTGTGGCTTTAAAAATCATTCTTTTTTATGTATGAAACATGAAGTCATTTCAATGGAATAGTTTTAATTCAGTAATTGGAGATTTAATTAGTAGCATGGGTTTCAAATTGTTGAGGCTTTTGCTTTTTTCAATGATTTACCATGGGGACTAAAGTCTTAACCACTTGAAAGTCTTGGAAGAGCCAGCAAAATTTTCTTTCTTTTTTTTGCTTGAAGATCAGATTCTATAATATAAAGAGAGATATGCAATCATCAAATGCCTGCTTATCATTTATCACAATGGGAAGCACATTAATTCTTTTCCTAAAGGTTTTGTTCATGCTTTGGCAAAGATGAGGAGACAACCAATTTCAACTTGGCTATGAATATGTTTTGGTTTAAATCTTTATTTTTTGGAAAATGAGGAAAAGTTCAAAAATATAATCTGAATAAAACACATATAATTTTGTTTTTACTTTTTGCTTTTAAAATCTTATATTATTTATGCACATTCTTGTTATCTATGTTTCTTTTTTTCAAATTTTGAATCATTTATTACCAAAAAAAAAAAAAAAACTTCACCATGTTTATTTCTTATATTACATTGTCCAAAAAAATAGCCTAGCATTAAGTTTGCCAGCATATCATTAATAATAATTTTGAAATGTGTAGGATCCATTAAAATATTATGTAAAATTCACATTTGTAAATGGTAGATTTTGTATAATTTTAAATTATGATTAAATAATTATAAGATTGTAGTAAAAAAAATTGTAGGTGAAATGGTTTTATTAAATTTAGATACATTTGGTTTTGCATTATATCATCATATTTTTATTTCTTCTATAATAAAAGGAGAAAGATTTAAATAACATCTTATTTTGAAAGATTTTTGTTTAATTTCTAGAAAAGAAAAATAAAAGGAGGGTTTTTTATGAGAAAAGAAAAAATATTTGATCATTATCATTTTTTTTTCTTTATATGATTTGATCTAACATGCACATGGTAACAATAGTACAATCTATTGTATTGTCAATTCTCAATAGAAAATAAAAAAAAAAAAAAAGAAAAAAATCTTCCAAATGCAACATAAAAAATTGACCATATACATGTGTCTAAATATTTTTAAAAAAAATTCAAATGCCCAAAAATTCTATATATGTCCATAGGAACATACATTTTATATCAACTCCTAAGAATAGGAATGTTTTTAGTTGATGTGGAAGGTCATTTAATAATCTCATAACTCATTAATTTAAAGCAAAGAAAAGTATATAAAATATTTAAAAACAAAATTAACAACCATATATGTGGTTTGGCTGGCTAGACCATTTTTCTTTATTAGTATTAATTATTGGCTATAAACAGGATTTTTTATCTAATAAATCCCATATATATCTTAAAGTTTGATAATACTTACTTTTTCAATATACAAAGAATATATGATCATCACATCATATGATATAATTTTATTTCGTCTCATAATTTAAACTTTGAAACTTTTAAGACATAATCGATACATGATAAGAGATAATATTGTCTCGTTTCATAATTTAAACTTCAAAATTTTTTAAGATATAATCTAAAATTCTTCCCATTAAAATATCTTTCGAAACATTTTACACTTATAATTTGCTATAATTTGCATATATATATATATATATATATACATATATCTATGAATAATATCATGTGCAGCTTCTTAATTAATTTTGTCTAAATTGTTTTAACAAATTTTTGAGGCATAATTTGTTAAACCTATTCGCACGAGGGCATGGAAAAAGCTGAAGAAGATGAGAAAGTGCAGTTCTCAAAGTTAAAAAAAAAAAAAAAAGAAATATAGAAGTAAAAGTGTAAAGTGAATGTTGAGAACTAAGTTTTTGTGTATAAATATATGTTTTGTTGTTATATATAATTTTCTCCATCAAAATTTCTTTGGTAATTTCAATTACAAGGACCACCACTAAGAAAGGGGTACCCCAATTTAAAAAATTGTGACTCCATTGTGCTAGACATTTGAAGATCATCCTTTTCCAAAATAATAATAATAATTACGAGTACCTTCACCGAAAAAGGGGACTCCATTTTGAAAAATTGTGACTCCATTGTGGTAGACATTTGAAGATCATCCTTTTACCAAAAAAAATTTTCAAATTTAGTTAATTGGCTAAAGACAAAGTCCCAAGTTATTAAATTTAATAATGTTTAATTAATTTTCATAAAAAAAAAATAATGTTCAATTAGTCTAATGGGAATGCCCAACTAATTAGTTAAGGTTCAAGATTTTATTTTTCCTTTTCATTTGCTTTTTGACAAATTTGAAAAATCCCATTATTTTTAAACTCGTGAATCTCTCTTTTGATGTGTGTGTGTGCTTAGGTAAGCATGCTTTCAACAACTTCGCTAATAAAATGAATTAAATTTAAAAAAAAAATTAATAATCATATAATTTATTAATAAAATTTATTGATAAAATATTATACTTTAATTTTAATGACGAAGATTCAATTTTTGAAAGTTTCAAATACTTTTTTAAAAAAATTCAAGGAAAAGATGCATGTTTGATGTAAAATTTAATTGAATTTAAAAAATTATTTTACTTCAACTTCACTCTCTTTCATGATATAAAATTTTTTCTTTTTTTTTATTCTCACCGTATAAAAATCCTTTTATTAAAAAAAATTTACAATAGATTTAATAATTTAAAATATAACATGATGATACAACATAAATACGATATAAATATAAAACATGAAGATAACATAATTTAAAATTTTACTAATAATTATGTATAGGTTTAACAAAATAAAAAAATATATTTTAAAATTTTTTTATCAACACGAATTATGATACATAATTTTTATATAAAATATGATATAAATACATAAATTTTAATATTTTATATAACATAAATATACGAATCATCAACTCCAATCTACAAAATTTTTCAATTATTTAAAATGTCCACATCATAAAATCCACACTAGGAAATACTCCATTTTTTCACCCCATGTTACCTTCGGTGTATTATAACATTTAAGGTACATTTTCTTTACAAAACCAAAGGTATTATGCATTAAAAATGAAAAAAAAAAAAAAAAAAAAAAAACGTATAGCTCTCGAATTTCAAGATACGATATGCCATGGTAGCATGAGAATTCAAAAACAAGAAAGAGTAATTTTCTAATTATTTGCCACACCTATAATGTTGTGGACCGTTGTCCTTATAGCTTTCAAAATTTAATGAAAATAATGACTTTACGTTTTCTCTTGGGAATTTAAAAAAAAAACAAATAATAATAATACTCCTTTCTTAGCTACCTTCCTCGCTCTTTCCTCTTTCCCTTTCGAGTCTTAAATAATCATTTAATATCTTTCTCAGGAGAATATGTTGATATCACAATTATAAAAATGGTTGTCTGGTAAAAAAAAAATTCCAGATCATAAGCCCAATGCACAATGATTGCCCTGTTCTGTACCTTAAGATATTGTTTGATTTGATATAAAAGATTTTATAATTTTATGAAAATTTATATTTAATTTATAAAATATTATTTATTTTTATAAAAAAAATTATTTAAAATATCGATAAATAAAAATTAAAGATAAAAAAATCTAAAATAATTCAATATAAAAAAAAACCCAAACTTGGAAGCATATTAAAATGATTGTATCTTTCATAAAATCTAAAAAAATAATTTGATTTATTCGAACTCAAATATAACTTAAACCTAAAAATTTTTAAATTCGAAATAAACCAAATCTAGTAATGTATGAACCTGAACCAGCCTAAGTTGATCCATTTGTCAACTCTTATTTTAAGTTTGATGATGTAATTTAAAAGTTTCAAAATAGAAATCATTTGGGTTCGAGGGGTACTTTGGAGAAAAAGAAAAAACTAAAGAACAAACAAGAAATGAAAGCAAGAGAGGCAAAAAGAGGGTGTTGAACGAGACATTGATATAGTTACGGTCTTATTCACAGATAAGTTCAAAAAACACAGGTTCTATGCAACTTCGTTTTTTGTTTTCTTGTTCATCAATAATATATATAATATTATATATAAAACATAATAATCCTTTTCTATTCTCAAAAAGGTTTCTTGGCCAAAGGGAAGTTAGCCACTCCAACACTTCATCTCTCTCTTTTATTTATTTATTTATTTTTTGCCCGTATGTGATGATTAGCGAAGCTACAATTAAAACAATAATAACACCTCAATTGTTGGTAGAGAAGGTAAAAAATCTTGAAATCAATGAGTTTCGATTCGATTTGATTTTTTAAAATTAATTTTTTAAAAAAAAAATTAAATATCAAGTCGAATCGAATCGAATGATATAAAAAAAAATTAAAGTTTAATCGGGATCGAATTTTAAGTAAATTCGATCTTATTTGATCCGATATATATATATAATTTTATAATTATTTATATATTTTTTTTATATATTTAATTTTATATTTATATTAAAAATAACATTTTATTAATTTCGACTCGAATCGAGTTTGAATATAAAAATAATTAAAAATTATCAAATCGAGTTTAAATTTTATATATTTAAAATCAGATCAAATTCAAAACGAATAAAAATCTATTTTGATCTGATCTGTTGTCATCTCTAATTATTAGGTACTAATAAAACAACATGCTAAATTATTGGATTAAAATATGGACTTTACATAGTGATCATAGCAAAATGTATGGTTCTATAGATATCGCTCTCACTCCTAGCTAGCTTTAAAGTTGTAGCTTTCTTTTTATTTTGACAAAATGATAGTCCAATCAAACTTTGTTTTTTTGGAGATATCATTTCTTTGAGTAACAATTACGTCTAGATTCTACTAAAAGGAGAGATTTTTCAACCAACTTATCATATATGTTCATGCGAATGCAACCGGTTAGATGGTGATGAAACCCTCTCAAGTAAGTTTTTTTGAAAATTTTTTTGCTAGCCAAAACCTAACCATGGACACCCAAAACTTGGTACAATTCAGAGAAAGGGACCCCAAATAAAGTAACATGTGGGAATGAGGTGATGAGTAGAGGAAGATCTCGAGGACCACCTAATTAAAGCTTGAATTGGATTTTCCTTTGGCATTTGGTTTTTCCTTAGAATTTTCCTGGAAAATCCCTTTCAAGAATTTGATGGTATTCGTCTCAGTTCCCCTCGATATCCTTGTAGGATGGATTGTCAATTAGATCCGTACAATTTTTCACCAAAGGAAAAAAACACAAATCCCGTACGGAATCTTCAATCAAAATCTTTCACTTCACAATTTTATGTACATTTTTTATATCCATATTTTGACAAATAATTTTTCTAAGCATCCGATGCTCAAATAATTTAATATCTATTGTCAAATTACCATTGCAATTTTCTTTCCAAGGTTGATACAATTTAATATAGTTTTGGTCGGGAAAAAAAATAAGGTTTTCCATAATCAATGTCGGTGGTTCATCAGTCAATTTTCTATCAGTAATTTTTGTCGATTAATTTAGGATTTAGCTAGATTCCTATATAGTAAATGATATGATTATAACATATGTTAATTATGGAGTTAAAGCAATGTCTATTATGAATTTGAGACCATAGGAGAAGTCAAAGCGAAATGATATCCAATTTGAGACAAACTTACTTGCGGTTATATGTGTCTACAGGGATATATATAAATTTTTTTTTTAAAGTTTTTAATTTATTTTTAAATTTTTTTTATCTTAATTGAAGAAGATATTACATGTTTAAATTCTCTCAAATCTACAACCTTTAAGTGTCAACTTCAATAACATACCATCTGAAGGAAGGGATAATCAGCATATATAATATTATATATATATGCTTAAATTTGAGTTATGTATAATTGAAGTTTAGAGTTTTTTTTTTTTAATTATTTTATGTGTTGTTGGGTTAGTACACAATAAGAAATAACAATCTCTCATCTCATAAATTTTATTTTAAAATTTAAATTTAAGATTTGTAAGAGGAAGTTTTAAATATTAATCATTAAAATATTTTTTGAAAGTCCAAAATTGGAGTTAAATCTTTTCTTATAATTTTTAAAAAAATTTTAATTTACCCTTAATCTTTAAATTTTATTTATTTATTTATTTTTAAAAAATATTATATATTTAAATTCTTTCAAATTCATAATTTTTAAAAATTTAATTAAAATACATATCATCTAAATCAATACTTGATACAATTTTTTTTTTTTTTACTTAGCCATTGAAAATTACTAATGCATAAATAAGAGGCTGTTCAAAGAAAATTGGCATAAAAAAAAAAAAAAAAGGCTACTCAATGAAAGATTCAAAGCCTATTAAAAGATTAAGGGAAAAATGAACAATGTGACTATTGACTTAAAGTTGAAAATATATACTGTTGATAGGTTATTCGCAGGAGAAAGCCTACATGATAAATTTTTAATTTTTTGTCTGTTAATTTAATGATATTAAGATTGATTCTTGCCTTTTTTTTTTTTTAATGGACTAAACTACAACGAACAAATCATTGTCAAAATTACTTGCCTTTATTATGAATTAAATTCCAAAAACCAATGGAAACTGAAGTTGACACCTCAACTAAACAATAGAAAAAATTTTATCAACGGAATGCTTCAAAAAAACATATTTCGAAAAGTAAGATTCTCGGAAGAAAATTAATTTTTTTTTTCAAATTAAACGCACTTTAAAAATCTTTAAAATTTAGAACACATTCAATTATAGATAATAAAACGAAATTTTTTTTTTTTTATCAATTAAGATTCGATTCCCATATTAAAATTTTGAATTTGTTAGACCTATAGATGGGCATAGGCAAAAATTTAGGCCCAACATCAACATGGGCTAGACTTGACCTGAATTGAATACCCGACCCGATCAAACCAGTCCGATTGGTAAGATCGGGTCGTAATACCCAAAATCTGGTTCCATTATTTCTCATTTTCTTTGAAATTCCCGCCGTTTTTTCTTTTTTCAATTTCTCAAGAATAGAGTTCTTCAGGTTTTATTTTATTTTTTATGTTTTGAAAATTTTAAAAAATATTTTACTTGTTCTTCACATTTTATAGCTGTTTTGCAGGTTTTGAATTTAGAGCTAATCTGTTACAATGACCGATTCAAGAAGGTAAAAAAAGATTTTTTTTTTTTTTATTTGAATGGAATGTAATTAAAGAGAGAAATTTTCGGGGAAGATATTAGCGACACGCTTCGAATACTTGTAGTGACGGATTGTCATTTAGGTTTTATGGAGAAAGATGAAATACGACGACATGATTCATTTCAAGCTTTTGATGAAATATGCTCAATAGCAGAGGAAAAGACAGGTGATTTTTTTTCTTTTTTTTTTTTTATTTCTTCATTGCTATTTTCCGTGGAATTTTATTTTTATATATTCGTTACGATTTTTCCAGGAAAAGCATGTAATTTCTAGGAAAGTTCACGTTTTTTTGTGTTAGTATCCACTGAATTCTATCTTGCATCACTGTATCAGGTTGACTTTTTACTCCTTGGTGGAGACCTTTTCCATGAAGATAAGCCTTCGAGGTCAACTTTAGTAAAAGCCGAGATTCTTCGTCTGCATTGCCTTAACGATCAACTAGTGCAGTTTCAAGTTGTTAGTGATCAGACTGTGAATCATGATAACTCTTCAGTTCATAAAGTGTTCGTGAACAGGCAAGATGCTGATGACGATGATGCTGAACAGATTGTAAGGAGATTTAATAAGTCTCAACCTGGGGCTAGTGAATGTTCTTTTCGCTCTTTTTGCTGTGTGTTCTGCACATGATCAAACTGATAAACTGTGGATTCGGACAAGCTTGCAAAATGTTGTCATTTGGTCTTCGCCATTATATCCAGTTCAGATTCGTTAATAAGTGGATGAAGAATTACCAATTTTCTTGAAAAGTGAAAAGCCGAGGGTGAAAGAGAGATTTCAAAAGGCACCGTGATTTCTTAGGAGCTGTATACAAGAGAACTATGGCCAGTCAAAATTTACATTGACATAAGCCATGAGAACCAAAATTTACCACCTAAATGTGGGCATGCTCCCATCCAATGGTTACAAGAAGTAAGAAATTACATTATATACAGGCCTTATCTGCTCTGCTTGCTCATCGAAAGTAGACCTTCTGAGTAGAATTGGTGAAATTCTTCCCTTCCCTTTGATTACCAACTCTTCCCTGTTGGAAACAGTTCATACACATAAATCAGATACTAGATGAGATAGCAATGCACAAAATCACACAAAAGTTCATATACATGTAACCAAATCATAATTGACAACCAAGATGAGTACCTTGGGAACAACCGGTCCTGTTCTGCCACCCTTCTGGGATGCACTCTGACTTGTCCCTTTTCTACCCACAACCATGCCTCCATCAGCACTGCCTTTTCCACTGCATTTCTTGCTCAACAAAATTTCTCTGGTATTATTCTCTTTCCCAGCACCTGTCACTTTGTTGATTCTGCCAACTCCCACTTTCTCTCTAGCTTTTGTAGCACCAGCAAGTGACTTCTGTTCATTAACTTTATGTGGCAGTGAAAGTTTGGAACGATGATTCTGAGAATTAGCCTGCAAAAAATTACACCAATTTTGGGTTCTTCAACATGATAGAAGTTCAGAATAATGGCTTATTTTTCATCTTCAAAAAACTTCTTGACATTTATAAACCAGTTGAGAAGGATTTACATCAGCTAAAAGAAAACTAATCCAAATAAAGCTTAAGTTATGCAAATTCTATGTTCTGCACCACCCCCCCCCCCCCCCCCCGGGCCAAAATTGATGGGGAAGAATGTTAAGCTTATGCAGTCAAAATGAAGGATTACTTCCTCAATTAACATGAAAATGGTCTTCCGCATTAAGTATATGTTCAAAACTCCAAATGTCTACAGCGCACCGGAAGCACAAATACACATGCACATGCACATGCACAAGCACAAGCACAAGCAAACTGGTTTCTCAAGGTACACGTTCTTTATACCTTTGATTTTGTGGCTTCCTGCCAAGTTTTCTTCACAACAGTAACTAATCCTCCTGTTATAGGATTATGATTCCCTTCCTTACCTCTAACATTTGATGTATTGCACGTATTAGAAGGTTTCACTTTATTCTTTGCAGCTTCTGTCATCCGTGCTACATTTCTGCTATCTGGGGTTTGTTCTTTCCTCTTTATCCATGCAGTAGTTGACCTCTTAACATCATAACCAGAATATGAAGATGATCCCACGCTAGATTTGCCGGAGGAAGATTTATGGTCTCTTGATTCCCTTCTATCAGCATTAATCTCCACCCTTGATGCTGGTCTTGTAATACAACTTTTCCTAAGACTAACCCTCACCGATGTTAAAAGCTCACTTGTTTGACCAAAGCCTCGACTTGATACCTCAAAAAACTTCTGCTGCTGCTGTTGTTGAATGCTTTCGGACGTAACTGTGCTTCTACTATTGGTTTCACCTGATTTATCTGCCACATGACTTGAACTCCTTTCTGGACCTTCACAGATAGAAGCAGGTTTGACATTTTTTCCTTCGACATTCTCAGTTTTTTCAGAAACCAAACTTGTTTTTATGCAGGAAGTCCCTTTCAAACTTATAAAGCTTATTTTAGGTTTTGTGCCCTCACCAGACCCTGAATCCAACCCTGAAGGCTTCCCATTCAAAACCTTCATTGGCTGTATCTTATTCAATGAAACATCATGATAGTTCCCCTTCCATTTCTGGCTCTCGTAGTCCTTGCCTCTTGATCTTGAAACTGACTGTGTGAGTGTTGGTGATGATTCTTCTATCAAGTCCAACTCTAAGGTCACCCCATCCTCACCAGCACAAGAAAATGCAGATTTTAACTCGCTAGAAGAGCATTGGTGGAACCTGAAAAATCTCATTAATTTAATCCCCCGTTACTTTACCATCCTAATGTCATTAACTATAATTCCATAGCTACTGAAACAGTAATTGAGAAATGAACAGATGCTTACAAATGACTTGTTTGGAACCATTTGTCATCACTGCAATTTACAAAAAATATATGAATCAATTCTTAATAGAGAAGTTGTTAACATGCATATTTATCAATCAAATTACTTGTAAGAATCATAAAAAAATAGAACAGAAACTCACATGTCTTGGCTTTTGAGCTTAGTTTCTAGAGTAAGATCCACCCACATTGGTGCTTCAATTTCTTCCTACATATTTCAATAAAAAAATTTTCCAGTTAATGAATAAAAAGAAATAAGCTTGAAAATCAGAAACAGGTCAGAAGAGCATTCATTAGAAAGAAAACATGACAAGAATTCTTAAAACCAAACATCATTTGAATCCCAACAAAATTAAGAAGGAAAATCACAAGTTTTTGCATATTTTTGAGATGGAAAATATAAAAAATAAATAAATAAATAAATAAAATTATTTTCATGTTCCCTACATTTTCTCATCAGCCAAATATACCCTTATCAGCATTTTAATCAAGGTATCCATTTTCCTATCTACGAAACCAAAAAATTTAGTCAATTTATCATAGGTATTAACTGAAGAACACAAGAAACAACGAAACGTAGAAACAAAAATAAAAACATAGCCAAACAAATTAAACAAAACCCAGAAAAGAAAATGAAAATAGCAAGAAGAAAACAAATTCAAAATATTGCCAATCACAAAGAAAACAAAAAAAAAATAAAATCAACGAATCAAAACCAAGAAAACCCAACAAAAAAATCAAAATAAAAAAGGTTATTAATTTATTACCAGAAATGCCCAATGATTTTTCTGATTCTTGAAAGCCATTTTATTTTATTTATTTTCTGTTCTGCTTGAATCTCCTTTAATGTAAAAAAAAAAAAAAAAAGCTTTTTTGAGAAAAAAGAAAGAGTTTTTTGAATTGGAATCAAGTAATTAACAAACTTTTAGAGAGATGATTTAAAGGCTCCAAATCTTCCATACTTTTGGGGTATGTTTGGCTATTTAGGTTCTTCTTCTGCCCTGTCAAAGCAAGGAATTGGGTAAAGTTCAAGAAACGGTGTCGTTTGAAATGCATCAGACGAGAATTTGAAGAATTCTGGCCGTTGGATTTGGTTTTGAGAAATTAAGATTTCCAATGATGTTGGCACTTGGCAGCGCTGTCTAACAATTCGACCGTTGGTAGATTTCAAAAAATGAAAATGTCAGAGAGAAGTCAGCTACTGCAACATGCTGGTTACTTTCCTCACACGAAGGACAAATCCTACACGTCAGAATTTCCTTTTATCTAGTAATTAATTTTTCCTTTTCATTTTTTAAAATTTTCTATAAAAAAAAATTCTGCATTCTTTCTTTTTAATTTATGAGAAGGGATAATTAAGTAAGAGTAAAAATGGGTTTGTAATAAGAATACACATTATTGTTTGTATTTATATGTAAAATTTTCTTAGTATAAATTAATTTGTTTTGTACAAAAAAGATGTAATTTAAAAATAAAAAAAAATAATTACAGATGTTAAAATTTTATTTTGATCGGTTGTTATTTTTTAAGAATGATAATATAAATAAATTAAATTGATTTTCAAATTCATATGATAAAGAATACACATTATTGTTTGTAATAAGAATACACATTATTGTTTGTATTTATATGTAAAATTTCCTTAGTATAAATTAATTTGTTTTGTACAAAAAAGATGTAATTGGAAAATAAAAAATAATTACAGATGTTAAAATTTTATTTTGATCGGTTGTTATTTTTTAAGAATGATAATATAAATAAATTAAATTGATTTTCAAATTCATATGATAAAGAATTTTATATTTTTAATAAAAGTATGAACATATTAATTATGAAAAGAGAAATGTGTGTTTTATTATATAAAAAAGTGTATAATATTTTAGGTATTCATAAATTAAAAATATTCCTAAATTATGTAATTTATAATAATATATAAAGAATAAATTATAAAAATATATTATATGTTATGACACTAATTAAAAGATCTCTTTAAATTTAAATTTTGATATTTAATTTTAATATATCGTGCTTTAGAAATAAACGCTTAAATAATTTTGGCTTTGAAATGAAACTCTTACATCAAATTTCGTAATTTAGACCTAACAACACCTAAGCATCGACAAAAATTTAAGGAGCGCTTTCAATTCATCTTAAATCATAAGATATTTATTTAATTAAAAAAAAAAAAGAGCACTACTCATTTTTCTTCAAATGGAAGGTTTTGAGTTAGATTATATCTTCTGCAAATTCGAGGTAGGGTATAGACTTGCTGATTAATTTTTTATATTAATAAATGATATATAATAGGACTTGCCAATTGCGGGGATAGCTCAGTTGGGAGAGCGTCAGACTGAAGATCTGAAGGTCGCGTGTTCGATCCACGCTCACCGCATTTTCTTTTCTCTTTTTTTTTGTCCCATAAAATCTCGCATGTCCACAGTCCAAACTGTGTCTCCTTCAGAACAAGATAATATATGTGGACAGAAGGATATGAGTTGGAGATATTTCAAATCCTTTGCAGCCCTTTGATTGGCTGATTCTTAAACCTCCAAATCCCCACTACAATTCCTCACCTATTCTTTCCTTAACCACATTCTTTTTATTCTTTCATTCTCCTTCTCTTCTCCCCATATAACACTTTCACTTCCCTTTCCATACGTACATTCATTTTCCAGCGGAAATTAACTGAAACAAAACCAAAAAAGGCAGCCCTCTGACTCTGAGAGACAATGGCTTCAATGCTTAGCTCTGGAACTGTCCTTTGGCCAACCCCATTTCTTGGCCAAAACAGAACCCCAAATGGTAACTCCCTTAGAGATGTTGTCTCTACGGGCACTGGCAAATTCACAGTGGTATGTTTTAGTTTTATTTTTTTTCCTTGGCATTTCCTTCTTGGATTGAGTAGTTTTAAATTGTTTGGTTTTTTTTCTTTTTTTGTTGGGGGGGGTGGGGTGTAATGTGTAGCGAAATGAATTGTGGTATGGACCAGACAGAGTGAAGTGTTTGGGACCCTTTCAGCTCAGAATCCATCATATTTGACTGGAGAGTTCCCTGGTGACTATGGATGGGACACTGCTGGTTTGTCAGCTGACCCTGAGGCCTTTGCCAGGAATAGGGCTCTTGAGGTAAGCTCTCACTCTCATGATTAGCTTCTTCATGTCACCACTATTTCATTCTTCTTTTGGAATTACAGGTTTGTTAGCAATTGAAACTATGTTTTAACGCCATGGTTTTTATAAACAAAAAGGAAATCTTTTTAGCCTTTTATTGATTATTTGTTATCAAACAACGTTTAGGTGATCCATGGAAGATGGGCAATGTTGGGAGCACTAGGCTGCATCACCCCAGAAGTCCTGGAGAAATGGGTTAGAGTGGACTTCAAGGGACCAGTATAGTTCAAGGCCGGAGCTCAAATTTTCTCAGAAGGTGGCTTGGACTACCTAGGCAACCCCAACCTTGTTCATGCACAAAGCATTCTCGCTGTCCTCGGATTCCAGGTCGTCCTCACGGGGCTCGTTGAAGGATTCCGCATCAACGGTCATCCTGGTTTTGGAGAAGGCAATGACCTTTACCATGGTGGCCAATACTTTGAACCTCTTGGCCTTGCTGATGACCCTGTCACTTTTGCTGAACTCAAGGTGAAAGAAATCAAGAATGGCAGGCTAGCTATGTTCTCTATGTTTGGTTTCTTTGTCCAAGCCATTGTCACCGGCAAGGTCCCCCGGAGAAACTCTTGGACCACCTTGACAACCCTGTTGCCAACAATGCTTGGGTCTATGCTACCAAGCTTGTGCCCGGATCATAAATTGATAGCCAAAGATCAAACTTGTTCTATAATTTGCTTATGTGGATTAGAATGGAGAAATGTATCTATGTACTTACAGATTTTGGAAAACTTTTGAGAATTTAAACTCTGCATCATTGAAATTTCAATGTAATTCGTGATTGAGATCAGTGCAGGGCATGTTGAAGCAGATGAATTGCTGGGATTTAATGGAAAGCTGAGTAATGGTTTTGACCAAATTTCCATAACCAAATAATCTGGAGTAAGGCATATGAACATTTCTCATTTCAGCCGTATACAAGGAACTACAAAGTTGGATCTTACATCACTGACAACAGAATATACACAGACTAAACCAATTCAACGAAGAAATCGGTTCCAACTCTCGACAACTATTTGTATATGCACATAATAATTCCTCTCACCAAGGAACAAAAATCGGTAGATATACAAATACGATATCACCCTTGCTGCCCATGGAATATAGAAACATTTATATTTGTTGCCGGAAATGTAAAGTAACTGCCCCTGAGAAGGGAAGCAGGCGGGCATTTTGGCAACAATCTCCGAATTGTTTAGACCAACCCAAGATGATCATTTCAAACCGGAATTCTGTAGCGCTTTTGAACCTAGCTTCCCCCACCATTTTCTTCTAGCTTTGTCTGATTCTGGATGCCCACGCTTATGTAGCCTTGCCTTAGCTTCCTTTAATCTCATCTTGTAATCTTTCTTCCATGTCTCGAACCTGAGTTTTAATCTCCGAAGTTCATCAACATGATTCATATTAGAAGCAGGCCGGGCATTTCTGTTGTTAATCAAGGATTTTTCATCATCATCAAAAGTTTGTTTCTGCTGCTCCAATTCCTTTACCAGATTGCTCAAACCATTTTCTCTCCCCCCAACATCAGGCATAGCACTCGAAAATAAGACAGGTGTATTCCCACCAGGAGTTCGAGATCTCGGGGACACATTATCTTCAGAATCATAACAGTAAGATGACGTCATATCAACTCTTCCTAGCTGACTAGCGGTACTGTCAGCAGCAAGACTTTTTCTGGCTGCAGCAAGACTCTTCTGCAAAAAAAAAAATGCAATTGAAATCAATAAACATCTAAATTATCAAATTATTATACAAGCATTTATTGATCTTTTCTGTTGCATCTAATTGTAATTTCTACGAGTACATGTAATTTTCATCAAAAATGTATATTAAACATGAAAGTCCCACAACAGCATTTATGTTACTGGGAAAAAACAGAAAGAAAACAAAATATCTGGAATGAGCAAATCATCAAGGCCATTTCAGAGCTTGATAATGTAGTTAGACTTCGTAAGTCATGACAGCCATGTTTAGCATCAAAGAGCAAATATTTTGGCAATGTGAGTAAAAATATAAATGAAAGCTTTTAGGTATATTTTCTGTGACAGCCATGTCTAGATATATTTTCTTCAATAAGCTTTTAGGTTTATTCATTCTTATATACTTGTTCTGCCAGCTCCCACATCAAATTTACAATCCGCCAATTATTTAATTTAATAGTCAAGTTTAAATGATTAGCTGCGATCATCAGGATTGCATTATTTTTGCAGTTACTTCGACAATTATCAAGACCTTCTGTGTTTCGGTTTTACAACAATCACTTTAATGAAAACATGTTATTATTGGTAACATTTATATACAAGTATACAAACTCACTTGCAGTGATGCCATTTGCAGTTGCCACATCTCCTCCATTGATTTCATTTTTGACTCGTACTCCAACCACCTTGACTCATACTGTTGTAATTGCTCCCGTAATGTGGCATTTTCCTGTTCTTTTTGCCCCAAAGTTGCTTCTGCCTTGAGAACCCTTCTTTGAAGCTCTGCCATTACTGAAGGCAGAACTTGAATCTGTTGCTCATTTGGTATGTCCTGGTCAGCCAAAAAGAGTGTGATATTTTTAAGTCCTTCAGAGTTGCTCAACAGATTACAGGCAATTTAAGAAAGTAAAACATGGTTGGAGGCATGCAACTAAGAGAAAATAAGCATGGTAAGCAAGAAAATGTCTTAAAAAACAAGACTCTTAATGTTACCATGTTAAGAGTAGAGAATACCTTTGCTTCAGAAATCTTTCTACCCATCTTTCGTCTAGATTTTCCACTTTCACGGTTCAACTGTTTCAAATTATGCAACTGTTTCAAATGTCTCCGGGCCAACCACCCACGGATTACTGCAGCAGAGAAAAACAATGATAATGATAAGCAAGAAAACTGTAGACAATGGAAAGCCACAAATTTATCTAGTACACAGAATTTACCAGATTGTAAATATATGACTGAAGTCAACTGCTCATCAAGCAATTGGGAAGTAAATGCTGAGCAACTATTTGCTTCAATAGCATACTTCCTTCGAATATTTTCACCACAGACAACTGCATCACAAAGGAGACATCTGTCAGTCGATAACAAAATAATAAAAAAATGTAAATTGCTAAAATATAGGTGCCATGATCTAGAAAAGGAATTGACTTATGGTGCAAACACAAATAAATCTACACTTCAAGCCTCTAAAGTGTAAAAAGGTGCTTTGAAGATGATAAGACCAAAATCTAAAATGTCCCGCAGAAAGATAGCCTAAATGTATGAAACAATGTCAACTTCAGACCAGATAAGACAAAAAATATATATATAAAACAAGCTATGAATCTCTCAGTAGGGGGAAAACAATTAAGTTGATTGGAAATGAGTTTTGCTTGGAAGATGTTCATTACATGATTGTATATTTTTTGCTCCTTTGTTAAGCTCATGGAAAAGACGACGAGCTCGATGGCCACGGAAGTATTTCTGAACCTCAATTACTCCTTGCAACACCTGTTTTCTCCTATCCTCCAATGCACCAATCTGCAAGCCAGCCAGACATAATGGCATCAAAGAAACTATTACATAAGATAACCATAAACAGAATGAAATAAGTTTGCATGTCCATTTTCCATAACTCAGCATGTTAACTTGAAGGTCCAACTCTAAGCATCAAGTGATATTTCAGGCTTTTATTTGCAACACAGTGATTCGTTTACAGTCACATATCAACTAGGTTATGTAGGATCCACTTGATAAAGATTCCTGGAGATTTTTACCTTGACTAATTAGGCTAACATGATTTTCAACCATAAAGTAAGAGAAAATCATATCACCTAGCTCAAGTGGAGTAGAAAAGCTAGTGAGTTATGCTAGAACATATTGCTGGCCTCATATGAAGTCTTAGTACAAACTCTTGATATGCATAGACCAAGCATTGGCTCTTGCAATTATCTATAGTGTCATATAGGTCCTGGAAGTGTTTGCGGAAAGAGGTATCAAGGTTGAAAATTACAGCATAAAAATTGACAGCAACATTAAAAACGAGACGAGTATAAAACTTACCTGCCCAGTTCGAAGATACAGTCTGGTATAGCCAATTTGATACATTTCAAGAAGGACATTAAATTGTTTAAGAACTGCAACTGAAATACTTAATGGATCCTGTGATACATTGGTCTCCAACAGTAGGAATCCATACCTACGAAATGCACAAATATATGAGAAGAACTATGGTGAACTAGTTAAAGTGAATAATAAAAAGAAATTAAAACAAGCCATAACTATAGGAGGTTTTAGCCTCTACCTTTCTGCAAACTCCTGATGTGTCATTCGAGTAGGATATCCAGATCTTGAGATTCTAACAACCTCCAAAACTCCACAACATCTAAGCTGTTGCAAGACAAGATCCTCTTCATACATGTCAGGGAGCTGCTTGCAATTCGGTTTTATGCAGCGAATAAAGTGAGGTGTTGTATTCTCCAACTGGTGCATTAGCTTGAAGAGTTGGCCCTGCAAGTATGGAAGAAAAATATCGACTTATACAAAGCGTGCTTGTAATAACAGGCACATGTCAGTGTGCAGCAAACACCAATATTCCTAATACTGTATTAGATACCCCCCATTGCCAAAGGAATGTAAAGGAAAGCAAATTCACATATCAATTACCCATCAACAAAACATGCAAGAACCAAAGAACTCAAGAAATCATTATAACTTCATTCACAGGACTGGCAAATCTTGGTATGCTTTATACTGAAGAGAAATGTAAGAAAGCTTCTCCAATAAAGAATGCATACCACAAAAAGCTTTGCAGTTTTGTTGATCAGTTTGAATTACATTACAACCACAGATATATTAGGATTACAAGTACTAAGAAAGCAAATTTACCTTTAACTTTGTACCAACACTTTGCTTTGGAGCATCCAATGAAGTTGCTGGTTTCAGATATTGGTTATGCATTTTGGAGGCAAACAATTGTGGCAATTGACCATTACAGCATGATAGAAGTTGGACTAACTCAAAGTTCAGTGGATCTCGGTTCTTTTCCAAAAAGCCATTTGTATCATAGAGTACCTGGCAGAACTCCGAAAATCAATAATTTCATGTATGTGTTGTGCATTACCATTTCAGTAGCATGCAATGCCATTTGAATCAACTTGCCAAACAAATTCAAATGGCATTTTGACAAAAAAATTTCTAACCCTATCAAGTTAATTAATTTTGACAATAAAACAAAGCTCCCTTACTTTGTTCAAAATAAATGTTCTAAAGCTACATGATTAAAGTAGATATACAAGCATCAAAAGCTGCAATAAAAAGTCAACCTAACTCAGAATAGGATAACCAAACAATGTTTAATACCAAGAAGTTTGTAGTTTAGAACAAAATTTCATCATTTCTAAATCAAAATGCAATTAACAACATTACAAGGGTTCTATAAAGTCTTATTCTGTAGTTTGAGTACGACAAGAAAATTTTACATCAATTTATCAACAGATCCGGGAGAAATACAAAATTCTATTAAAGCTCTAAGAAATGGTTGGCAAGTGACTGATGTGCTCTCAAACTTAGGCCCTTTCAAATATCTAACCAATATTTTAACCACTTTCAAGTATCTCACAAATATTTTTGTTAAAAAAAAGAATGGAAAACAGCAAGTAAAAAATGTAATGATCCACCTTTAATATAGGATATTTCCCACTTTCTTGATTATTTGCCTTCAGAACTGAATGAAAGGAAAACCTTAAAAGGAATTTCTAACTATCCTTAAAAGACCAGTAAACCTGACCTCTCCTGCAAAATGTCGAACACCAAAGGCCCTGCCTCTATCTCCTTTGAAGCAAGAATTAGCATTCAGGTGCTGCTTCAACTTATTAGCAAGGGTCAAATCAGTTGCATTGGGGAAATTTGATTCCTCATCCAGTAAGGAAAGTAGCCCTAACGGTTTCTGCAAAATGACCACCAAAAAAAGAAGAGTGACAGATTGCCCAGGAACATTTTGCTTTCAAATGGAATGAGATACAACAAGGAAACAAAAACTTCAGCACCCAAGCTAAGACAACATACTTTTGTAAGACCAAGCTCAATTTCTAAATAGGACAAAACCATAAAATACATAAGAACCACATGCTACATAATATACAGAACAGATTCCAGCAATCCCTTAACACAATCGAAGGAACTCCAAACAAACATGGATGACAAAGAAACTATTGAACCTTCAAATTACCTTCTCAAATAAGTCCAAGCACTCTTGGTTGTCTTCAAAGTCAACTTTAGTCCAATCAATCCCATCCAACTCATATTCCTGATATAAGAAAAAGAAGTGACACTTAATACCAGGAAGTTGGTCAAAATACCAATTACTGAGACAGAAGGGAAACCAAATCCAGAAATAAGAATAGACAGCTGAAAACCAGATTATATACAACTTTTGGCTTCTGAAAATTAATTTGTATGCCCAGTAAAATGAGGGCAGAGTACTGGAATCCCAGCTTCAGAGTATAGAGGCATTGTTCTTCTACAAAACTGTAAAGAAGTCAAATACTCTTAACAATTTAAAGTGTGGAGATCTAATCTTCATTATTACTTGATTAGTTAACTTTGTCTATTTTAGTTAAGTCTCTTATTTTTAGAAGGAGTGATTTCGGTAATTACAACAAATCAATTAGATATTTTCCTATTATGTGTAGAGAGTAAATTACTCCTTTAATTAGCTGATTTAATACATGAAAATCTTGGTTTTTAAGGCTGAGAATATTCAGTCTTTGGCCTATATATTTTCATGCAATTCTAGCCTTGTAATAAGAAAAATATAGAAGAATAAAGTAGTTTTATTCTAGAGATTTCTTCAAAAAGATTCAAGTTGCTTACCTCTTGCTCAAGCTTAAATAGGTGCCGGTTGAAGTGTTGTTGCAACCTCTCATTTGCATAATTTATACAAAACTGTTCAAAGCTATTCTTCTGAAAATGAGAAGAGAAAAAATCATTAGTTGCACAAACTGAACTTCACAATTATAATCCCTAAACAGCTAATTAAAACCTACTTACCTTAAATGACTCGAAGCCATAAATATCAAGAATGCTTATGGACCTGCCAGTGTGCTGTTTGCCCACTTCAAGTGACTTGTTGATTTGTTCCACAAGCCAGTCAAACAAGCTTGCATAGATGAATTTTGCCAATGCATCTCTTGTGTCAATTGCCTAAATTACAAGTTAACCAAAGCATTATCATGTTGTGAATGTGTGCATCACAGGAAATCAAATGCGACTTGTGAGAGGATTGAAGAAGAATAACTTTGTTAACAAATTCAGGACACACCTGTTGCAATGTCAATTTTTTAGCAATACTATCCTTGCCAACTCGGATTCTATGGGTAGATAATGCTTGCATCAGTTCATGTGGTGCACAACCCATCAGCCTGGCAGCAATGGTTAAAGCTGCAATAAGGAATAAAAAATGATCTCATATAAATAGGCATCTTAAAATGTAATCATTTTTCCATCTTATTCAAGCATAAACACAACATATTAACAAACAAGCACTTATATGTAAAACAAAAGGATAACTAAAGATTTAACTTAAACAGGTTCAACAACCAAGTAATATTAGCAGGCACAAAACTAATGATTATGATGATGATGATGATGAACATCACATATGATGTCTTTACAGCACATGTATTTTATAAAAATGTGTTTTATCGTGTATGATGAGTTCAGAAAAGACTTCCATCAGCTCCCAGGAATGATATCGACAGATATATTATTTGGTAGTCACTATGCTAAAACAGTTGACAAAATACAATGGAGTGCTATTAACAAAAATAGGAGACAATGCATCTGCATGACAATATCTTGTCGCTTGAAGTATAAAACTTTGATGAAGGTTGGACCATGTTAATTGGCACAGGCCATCAGAAAATTTTAAGGAGACAATGCATCTGCATGACAATATCTTGTCGCTAGAACTATAATGTCAAAAGCTAGTAAACAAGTTCTGCTTCTAAAGTAGGATCGTCTTAGTGTTACTACAAGTAATAGTACAAATTGGCATGTTCATTCACTACTGGGAATTATTTTCTTCATTTTATGTTCCACCACCTTGCCAATGAGATGTCACCATCATAAAACTATTTAAGGCTTATGCAAATTTAGTTCCCTGAAAAATGCTACAGTATATAATGAATCCCGTTTCTCTCTCTCTGGGCTAAGAAAAAAGAAACAGAAAGAAAAATCCTAGATACAATATCAAATGTAAAATATTTGCTGAAGTGTCATTATGCAAAGCTCAAACCATATTATTACCTTCATCAGCTGATGCCTCCACATGATTTTCATTGTCAATTACTTGAAATGATATATTTCCCAGCCATAGTACTGCAGCAAGCATTGCAAATGCTTGCTCTTGCTCTTCTTTGCAAATTTGAACAATGTCTAAGGCCTCCTGCAGAAATGGGGAAAATATTGCTTAAAAGCCAATATGACAGAAATTAAATGGAAAAGGAATGCATGCACTATTAATGGTAACATTAAAATCCAGTCTTTTGCATTACCATAAGCTTATGGAATTTCTGAGCATCATCAACACCATTAATCACCAAGCAGTCACTCTGGGCAAGATAGTTGTACTCATTAGCCATTTTAAGATTCAGTCTCTCTGCAAAGACATGAAACCAAGGATCATAAATATATTTCACAGATTCAAGTGAATAAGTAGCAGAATTGAAAACAGTATCATGTATTTACGCCTAGTTAAAAGGAAATGTTGATGGGTTCTGGCTTTTTAAAATAGATATAGCAGTCAGAACATTTAATTGATTCAATCTAGTGAATAAAAGACAATGTGGCAATAATAATAACTTGAGCAACCTGGAGATTTAAATGATATGATACAATGACTTCTTAAAAGTAAGTTCCACAGCTTCAAGAGATAACAGGTGTGAGTATAGTTCCATTTAGATAATATAGGGCACATCCAATGTTATAGAGACTCCAAAACTTTTCTGAACTTGCATGGATTGTGAAACGCTGTAAAATGAAATAGTACCTCTTAGAGTTGGCGGAGCACCAGCACAAAGTTGATAAAAGATATGGTAAGACCTTTCACCAGTGGCCAGCTGAACTACTCTTGACTGCTCAAAGGTAACATCAAAAACATCCACATCAGATATTATACATGAAAACAGAGAAAAAATCCTATATAAAGTTTAACTGGGCCAGGAAGTCACCTTTTCCAGAAGAACTATCCAGAATTATCGTTGGTGAATCAACATTAGCACAAAAATCAAGTCAGTCACCAGGATTAATCTAAATTATTTATTACTACTATGTATCAAGTAATTATAGCAATTTGTTTAATTTCAACAAGCTTACATGTTTGAATCTTGGCACCACAAATTTTCCCCACTGCAGTAAAATGAATTTCAATAAGTTTCCCCTGCACCAGTTCAGAATAACAGACTAATAAATAAGACATACTTTCTGAGCTATAGCAGATGTGAAATGCATAAACCAAAGCAGAAACTCATCCTCTCAGGTATGAAATCAGCGAGGATTCTTTCAGCCATGAGATATAATCTTATATAGATTTAACTTCAGTAGAGAACAACTGAAAAATGAATGAAGGGGAAAAGAAGAACTCACAAATCTGCTAGAATTGTCATTCTTAGATGTCTTTGCATTCCCAAATGCTTCAAGTATATAATTTGTCTGAAGGATTTCACACTCTTTCCCACCATTGCCACCTCCAAGGGCAGCTAGGTACTGCATTGCAAATTTTGCAGTCTCAGTTTTCCCAGCTCCACTTTCCCCACTGCAAGATAAATTTAGATTATGTAATTCCACAGTTCATAAAACGAAAAAAAAAAAAGAAAATGTGCTTAAAGACCCACACAAGAATTATATTATTATATATAACTAAAAATATTAAAATATCCAACTAACCTTATGATTATGGACTGATTTACTCCATCTGCAAAATTTTAATTACAGACAATAAATAGAACATCAGAAACAAGTTATTACAACACCACAAGCAAATTATCAATTGTTTATGCTAACTCCAGAAGAAAAAAGAAAGAATGATTTCATTCACCATTCATCATCTCATTATAAGCAGTGTCTGCTATAGCAAAAACATGAGGGCTGTCTGTAGCTTTCTGTCTATAAGTCGTGACAAAATCCTTCCCATAAATTTGGACATCTTTGAACGGGGTTGACTGCAATCAAAACTGGACCTGCTTTACTCTACATAAAGAAAAAAATGTATAAATGAAGCATGCCAGTAGAGATAATCCTCATTGATAAGTACATGTGCAAGGTTTATATCCTGCTTACATATATCATATCACAAGAATATCTGTATTTAAGATTGTGAAGAACTGATGGCTCATTCAAATAACTAAGCTGCATGAGATCATTCACACCCTCCAAAATTTCTGGGTTTGCAGGTAAGAGCTCCCTCGTAGAGACTTTTACAACCTATAACAAAGATTAATATAAATCATACACCAACCTGCCAAAAGGAATACTGGAGACTAATTAAAATTTTCAAAAATCATGACACATATGTACTTACATTTCCATTGGCAAGGGAGACAAATGATTCCTCTCCTGATGTAGATTGTATAGTTCCAAATCCCCATACCCCATTGGATTGCCGACACCAAACAAGAAGTTTCTGAAACCAAATCCTCTCACAATAAATAGGTTTTTTTATAAATCAAATATATTTACCTAAACTAGTAATCATTATCACAGAAGATAAAACAAATGTCTGAGCCATTGCTCCTTTTTTTTATGTTTCAGAAGAGAAGAACTTCAGTGGTAGTCTAAATTTTGTTTCGACCATATACACTCAATATAACCTTTCAACTACAATTCATATCATTAAATATCTGGAAAATATTCTCATATCCATAAAACTAAAACCAACCTCCTAGTATGTTAGGCAACATCTAGACATCATGAGAAACACTAGCAACTAAATTTCAATTTCATCTCTCAATCCAGATAACAACATACTTCATGAGTTATAAACCCTAGCATAGTATAACAATTCAACAACACTGCCAACTCTAGTTTTAACATTTCCAAATTCATTGGTCATGAACCCATAAAGTTACTACGACAAACTTAGCTTCCATTTAGTTATCGTCCTCACTTTCTAGCATAACACCCTAAAAACATTTCATCAAAAGTATTCCTAGTTTAAAAAAAAAATCCATTTGACACACACATTACTAATAGTAATAAAACAATTAAATTTAAAAAAAAAATCAAAGCAAAACAAACTAAACCATTCTTCATATTCTCTTGTCATAAAAATCCCATATTTTTCCCCTATGCCAACTAATTCACTACCTATTATCAACCTAAAAGGCAAAGAAAACAAAACCTTTCACGGATATATACATATATATATATATATATATATCAACACTAAGATTAATTTAGAGCAAATAAAACCTGTTCCTAAGCATACTACACAAAAGCTTCAATTTTTAACACAGTAAGACACTAGCAAAAGTAACAAAAATATTAAACTCAATCCAAGTCAAATAATAACTATAACATTCTTCAAATTTCTCTTACTAAGTACTTCCTACATGGTATTAAAACATGGATACCAAGCTCCTAAGCACACTTAAACACAGCAAAATAAAAATAAATAAATAACAAAGAACACGTAATTTCCACTTAACACTTACTTTCTTAATAAAATACCCAATATTATCATTCTCTTCCCACTCCACTTTCCCTTTCCCTCCTTCCTTCACCTCAATTTTCGACTCCGAAACCCTAATTTCTCCCTGCCTTTCCTCCCCTTTTTTCCCCTTCACTGCCTCCAAATTATAGGGTGAATCCACATTCTCATCTTTCCTCATTTTCTTGCTCCCAAAACTATTCCTCTTCACTCCTAACTCCTTTTCCTTTCTTTTCCCCTCCTCTTTCCCTTTCACTTCACTTAAAATTCCACCGTTTTCACCGCATTTGCCTCCATTTTCATCGACTTTGAAGTTCGTTGGAAGGGACCGGCGAACCGAGGGAAGTCGGGCCTTGGACGTGGGCCGGGAAGGTAAAGTCGGGGGTAAGTCTTTGGGTTTCTCGGCCTCGTCTCGTCGCCGGAGAGACTCTAACATTTCTTCCAGCGAACTTTTCGCTAAAGTGGTCGGCGACGCCGATAACATCATTTTTGAAAGGAACAAAAAGAAACCCTAAAACGAACCCCAAAAAAAAGTGCTTTCTTTTAGAAATTCAAATTAATTTCTTTGCTAAACTCGCATTAAAAAAGTTAAAAGAAGATCGAAACAGCAGAAATTTTGAGGAGAAAAAAAAAAAAAAAGAAGACGATTGAAACGTTTCGGATTTTGTTAAAAGAAACGGAAATCGAAACTGTGAGGGAACTAGCATTTGCTAACAAAAAAAAAAAAAAAAGACGAACGAGAAAGAAAAGCAGCAGCTTTTAAAAACGAAAATTTAAAAAAAAAATCTTACAAGAGATTAAGGTTGTTGAGAAACAAACCTTTCAAAACCAAAAAAAAAAAATGTTTCAAAGTTGTTTTCCGAGAAAAAAATGAGCTTCTTGTTGTTGTTGTTCTTGTTTTTTCTGTTTTGGTTTGGGCTTAATCAGAAATTTTAAAACAGAAAAAAAGGAAAAAAAAAAGAAAGAAAAAGGAAACGGTTTGGATCTGACGAAGAGGGTTCAAATAAAATTTGTTATGGAATTAATTTAAGAATAAAATTAAAATAATTATTAAAAGGATTTTTTGGGAATAAAAAATAGAAAGAGCTGGCGGAATTGAAATGCAGTCGTTAGAGCAGAAGGGACCTGAAAAAGCCAAAGGGAATTGGCCAAAAAAAAAGAAAAGCTGAAGGGAAAAAACGAGTTTTGGATTAGGTCGGGGATTTGGATAAAATTACCGTTATAAGTCCTATTTTTTTAATTTTTATTAAATTTCCTTTTATGCCCTTTTCTAGTTGCATGCCAAAAAATTTTAGGTATAGTTTGTATTAAAAATTAATATTTTGAAAAAATGTTTATTTATAGGTAGGTAAGGAGATTCGATGAAAATAATTCAAAATTATTCTATAAATATATGTAAATTTAATAATTTAAAATATAATAGAATGATATGATATGCACATAATACGTAAAAATAACACGATGTAAAATTTTAATAATTATTATATATAAATTTAAAAAAATAAAAAATATATTTTTATTTTTATGTTAATATAAATTATAATACATAATTTTTATATAAAATATAATATAGATATACGAATTTTAATATTTTATTTAACAAAATATACAAATCACTATATCTATATACATGATATATACTCACAAACGATATTAAAACGTAAACAAATGTCTTTTTAAAATATATTTATGAAAATTAATGTAAATAAATTATTTTTTAATTTTATTTGTAGAGTTAAAAAACTTAACCAATTATAATAATAATCCACATAATCCCAAGACAACTTATTAAATTATTACTAATCAATTTTGGTGAGGATTCTTCCCTTTTGATTCAAGAATTATTCGTTTTCTTATTATTTCTTTGGTTTGTTTGAACTACAAACCATTGCATCCAATGAATGAAAGGGTTAGTGCCAATACAATTTCCATTGGAATACTCTTTGGGAGTAGGTAGATCTAAATTTAACAAGTCATATATTAAGAATAATTGTATATTTTGAATCAAATCACGGATAATTAATTTACTTACTCATTTAATCAATGATTTAGAAAAAATTAATAATGAGAATTAATGAACCAACTTTAATGTTGTTGGATCACAAATTAATTAGTTTACACATTAAGTTAGAGACTTGCTTTCATTTGCCCAAAACGGCACGTTTCCGGTATGAATGGTACGTTTCTGGAATTGTTATGAAGATAATAATGGAATTGAAAAGGACATTGAGCTAAATGTTTTGGTATTGAAAGTTTTTATTTGAATTTTTCAAGTTTGAATGATCAAAGCTTGTTTTTGAATTTAAATTTATTATGTGCATGACTATAAATTATGGCATGATTAGGTACTTGTAAGTTAAAGTTTGTTAATTTGGCCTTGGGTTGTTGTAGGGAAGTTCAATTAATTAGAAGTTTAGGACTTGATTGACAACTTCTATCACTTAATAAGAAACTTTTGGGATTAACGATTAAATTATTATTTTTCTTAAAAAAAAATATTTTGCCTATGTAAAGGGGTTGACTAAGTATATGACTATATTAAAAAAAAATAGATTTAGTTAATTATCATTTATAATCACAAAACTAGAAAAAAAAAAAAGCAATATTTTTCTCATTGGGACATGTTTGATTTGAATCTTAAATCTTAATAAAAAAATCAAGATAAATATGTTTGAATATATTGGATTTTTTTTCTTTTTTCCTTCTGAGTTTCAACGAAATTTTTTTTTAAAATATAAGTTACAAGCATAATTAACTATTATATTATTAAATAATTAAACAAGCTAATTAACCAATAAAATAAAATATAAACAAATTCAACATAAAATTAATTAAATCAACACATAATAATACTTGAATTTAGAATGGTAAAATTCTAAAATCTCTTCCTTATTACTAAATCATAGCCTCGTTGATAGAAATATTAAATTTTATTCTTGGCATTTGGATAAGATTGTTGAAAGGATGGAAAATAGTTTTATTTTTTCCTAACTCAGAATTATAAGTTCTTAAAATTTAATTTTTTATAAAAAATATATTTAAATTTAAAATTAATTAAATTAATTCATATAAATTTTTAAAAATAAAATTCAATACATTTAAAATTTAAATTTTACCATATACAATTATTTTTTCTATCCTTAAATTATTGCTTTCTTTGTAAAAAAGAAAATGATTGCTTTCGTGACTAACAAAACATTTACTCAATAAAGAGTTCTATTTTCTTCTATAAAATTGATATTAAAAAAGGGTAAATGGGTAATTACAACTAATACCAAAACGACCCATTGATAATAGAAATTTTGATTGTTTACAAGGGTATATCGGTAATTTCAATTTGCCTAATCCACACGACTCAATGGTCGTTTTTTTGAATAAATTTATAATAAGTAGAGGGAGATTAATCATAACGGTAACGCGGCCCCCACCGATGCTGTGATAAAGAAATAAGTCAAACAAAAAACAAATTTTTTTTGTTTTTGTGAAAACAATTGGATTTAGTTTGTTTTATTCAAATCATTAATGTGTTTGAAAAGAAATTGTTGGTCCACTGACAATGTAAAATTTAAAGGTTTTTTAATACAATATTTTAAATTAATTCTTGCTTTCATTAAATATAGAAGGCAGTATATAAAAGGGATTTTTAAAAAAATAACTTTTTATTTAAAAAATTAATAACTAAAATTTAGTTGATTTTAATTATCATGAAAGACTCGGGTTTTTCTCATATTCTGCGTCTTTGGTGGTTCCCAAGTACATGCATGTTCCCCAAACGTGTGATCTCTTTCATAGATTTTGTATCATACATGTTGAGGTCAAAATTTTAGGTTTTTTTTTTTTTAGAACGAAATTTTTTGGTAATTGTGAATCGGATGAATTGATAAAATTTAAATATTTCGTTTATAAAATTTGGATTCAAATTTATTATTAATAATTTTATTTGATGGATTATTTATAAATTTAATATATATTTTTTAGATTTATGATTTTTTATTCCAAATTAAAGAAGGCGGTCTCACTGTAAAATTTTATCTAAAAAAAATTGATAATTAATTTTTCAGTAATAATTTAATAGAAATCTTATAATAAAAAGTTATTATTTGGTAGATGAATAAAGAGATAAAATCACAAATTATCTATCCTTTTTTTACAATGCACAAGATTTATTTAATTTTAACTCAAACTTTAAATCATATTTATTAAAAGTATTTTAAATTTATATATTAATCAATTATAATTCAAAATTTAATAAAATATCACATCAATGTCATATAAATAAATCCACTTTTTTTTTTATCACGTGAACATCCATATAATTATATATGTTACTTTAAGGTGAGAAATTTCATCATATCTTAACAATAATTAAAAAGAATAAATGAGTTTTGAATAATTTTAAGAAATCATAAATACAAATTTAAATTTTAAAAGATCATAAATAAAATAAAATTAAAAAATTATTTAATAATTTTTTATTTTACAAATGGGATTAAAAAATAACACATGTTTTTTTTTAATTTTAATTTTTTTTAAATATATACTAAAATATATATAATCTTATTAAATAAAAATTATAAATTTGTAATACAAGTTACTCGCCTTTATCTTTAAATTTTTATAGAAATTAATCTATCTTTGTATAAAAAATAATAAAATTACCATAATAACGGACAACAATTAACAATACTAGATTTTAAATTTTATTTGCAATACTATAACAGTTTCCAAGTTTTAAAAAATACTTTATTTAAAAAAAATTGTCAAATTATCCTACCAATGAGCCTCTAGATTAGCATTAAGCAACATCATTACTAATAAAAGCAAGCATTTTGACGAAGATGTCTCCTAAATTGAACCCATGACCATGCACCACAAAGTTTGTCTGGAATATGATAATTAGGTTTACCAAAATTCCTGGGGTAAGATAAGACATATACTATTTTTTTTTCATTAAATATTATTATTTGCCTTTTTACAAGACGCAATTCAATGATTATTTCATATTCTTTTATTAAAAAATTTCTTTTGGGAATTCTCACAATCTAAATAGAAATCATTTTTTGGTAATCATATTCATTTACTACCCCTAAAGTCCAATTGTATAGAAGGGAGTAAAAATTCTACTTTACGAAAAATTTGTAATTTTTTTGCTCAAAGATTATGATTTTTTTTTGTTTTAAAAAAATAATCTCATGTACGCTAATTAATATTAAATTTGAGCTAATAATTAAGTGGTTTGAACTAATGAAACACCAATTGTTTTAGATTAATTATAAAATAATTGATTATGTCAATCTGACGTAAAGAATTAAAATCTTAAAATTATAAATACAAAAAAAAAGAATGATTAAAAATAAAAATTAAAAGTGATTTTAGCGATTATATTTCGATGTTCAAATCAAAAATCAATCTAAGAATAAAAAGATAAAGTAATGAAGTAAAAGCTTAAAAACAAGAGGGTTCAAGATCCTTTATAAATACTTAGATAATGCTATTTACATCTAAGTGACAAGGTTATGAGCTTAGGTTGCTTGAGATTTAAGGGATTAGAGTTAATCTTGTAGGTTTGAGCTGAGTTGATTATTAATTGTTCATTCAAAATGTGACAAATCAGTATCTAAGAATATTAGCATGTAAGTTGCTAAAATGGTTAAGTTGACTTGAATTCGAAAATTCAAGTTAGCTTAACACGTCAATTCGATCAAAATTATTAAAATATCTCCGCTTATCAATTAACTTACATTATTGAGCTTGATCCATGCATGATTATGCTTTGATCTTATAAGAGTTAAATGCAAAATGATAATCTTAATAGTGTCCAAAAGACAACCACGCAATTAAAAGCCATTATCTTATTAAGTAGTAGTATCTTTAATACATCAATAAAGACCATGTTATGATTTTTAATCATAATTAACTACTTTAATTAAAGAGAGAAATATAGCAATCAAGTCTATAGAAAGAATTGAACAATTTGAATTTTATTTAAAAAAAAAAAATCAAGGAGGGATATAGCATGATGGGTGCCTAATTGCCTATGCAATTGCAATGTGCTTTCTGCCTTTTATTTAGTGTGGCCCTACTGCATTAGGTAGAATTTTGGGAGTGTTGTGTGATGGTGAACAATGCCTGTAGGGCATGTTAATTTGGGAAAAGTTAATTGGGTTACATTTTTTTCTTTTGATTCATGTGCTTTGAACAACCTTTAATCATTGAACATAATGAAAGGCAAGCTGAAACTTCTGACAACTTATAAGGGATGTCCCCAAAAGGAGTTGTATGGTAGCTATCTTCAATCAAACTGGTTTTTTCTTTTTTTTTTTCAAAGTATCTGCCAGTGTTTCTCACCTTCATTCTTTCTTTCCATCCAAGTTCCCCCAGATTGAGTAGCTGCCGGGTTAAAGGATCTGCTAATAGTATACAACATACTATTTTTTTTTTCTAAATTTTTTTAAAAAAATTTCAAAATCGTATTCGTTGAGCAAGAAAACATATTCGAATCGTTGAATCAAATACGAAAATTTTTAAAAAATTTTCTTTTTGTTAAAAGTATAATAATTATTTATAAAAAAATTCGAGAGGCATTGTTTGTTATGGAAGAGGGACACGAATGATTTAAACATGCATAAAGAAACCGAAGGATATGAATCAGAGTATTTAATTGATGGAACAGGAGTTGGCCGGATTGATGGTGGCATCCAAGATTGATTATCGCTATACTTAACGGGGGTGATTAATGGGGCCATTGTAAAATTATCAACATGTTCTTGCCAAAAAGAAAAATCCAAAGTCAGCTGTTTGTTCATTATGTCTTGATTAATGATAGTTGAAGTAGCTGAAGTAATTGCTTTCTATGCAGATCAATGGCTTTGTCTAAGCTAGGACGGGATCTTCTGGTTTGGCCGTTTACTAAAATTGGACGGGAAATGAATGAATTACAGCAACTCCTCCTGGGCCTGGTGTTTTCATGTCTCAATATGCACTTGATTTAGGCATTTTTAAGTTTTGAGTTTGGTTTATTGGGTGGAAAAGGAATGAACAAATTAAACCAACGATTTGAGACATGTTAAAAGGCACATTAGCATGTTTACTTTTGTGTATGAAAGTGAAAGCTTAACCAATTTAGGTCCACCATGTATTCAAATTAACTTTTAACCTAAAATCTAGTTAACATTCATGTTACAATGACCTATCAATTGAATGTTTGTTCGGAATATTAGTACTTTCAAACATGGTATTTAATTAGTTATAAATTAAAAAAAATATAAAATGTACCAAATTCATGGATAAACTAATTAACTTACAAATAAATGAGGAATCAACTTATACAATATAATTTTTTTTAATTATATATATATTTTTAATCCGTAATTTTAATAAATTTAAAAGATGTGAGAAACAAATAAAAATAAAAAAGTCTAATTTTCGTATCTTGATCTATGAAAATTTATGGTTAAAAAAATATATAATTAAAAAAAAATTATATTGTATAAATTAATACCTCCATGTAAATAAAATATTAAAATCAAATCAATAAATTATTGTCTTAAAACAAAACCGTTAGATATATAAAAATGTTGAGGCGAATAAATTTTTTTATTTATATATTTTCTATAAATTCTTAAGTAAATATAAAATTATAGAAAAAAGGTTAACATGAAGATCATCCCCTCTCCTCTCCCATTTTAAAAAATGAAAAGAGGAAAAAAAATTGTAAAGCATCATCGGCATTGTAAAAGATGGGCTTGAGGCCCAATAAATTCGGGCAGCTCTTTGAACATGGGCTAAATCGTTGCTTTCTTGTTCAGCCAGCTTAAAACTGGATTGGCTGGCTCATTTCAGTTCTAATGGTCGGGTCCGGTCCGCGGGTCTTTTCCTGCTTACTTTTAAAGAAAAATCCTAGGGTATAACTTTAGGCTTTCTAATTCTGTTCATTATCTTTTTCTGTTTTATGATCTCTAAAAACCCTAAGATATGGCCAAAAACAGAAACAAGAAGAAGCGAAACGGTGTCGCTTCAATGGAAATCAGCGAAGGAACCGTTCCTGATCTTCCTCAAGGTAAAATTTCATTTTTTTTTTCTTTCTTTTATTCCTTTTTTTAATTAAAAATTCGATCTATAAAAAAGTGAAAAAGAACAAAAAATAAGTTTAATTCATAATTAATTTTTTTTTTCATATGCCTTTAAAAAAGTTGTAATTTTTATGTAAATTTTGGTTTATTTGCAGCAATGGACACTTCAGAGACTGGAGTTAAAAACCCTAAATCTGGTGCTGCCAAAATGTAAGTATTAAAAAGTATGATGAAAAAAATTGTTTTTGAGAAGGAATTAGTTACTCAATGATGAAAATGGTTGTTTTCCATGCATATATAATATAGATATATGCTTGTGTATATGTGAGTTTGGATTCTAACTGGAATTTTTTAGTTGTATTTTATTGAAATTTTTAGGGAAATTCTAGCATTTGGGGAAGTGAAATTTGTTGTTAATGCTCGTAAATTTACTCCATTTGCGTATTTGGATTGTATTATTCAAGGGTAAATGCTTTTTTTGAGCACAAATCCGGGACTAAAAACAGGATTGTGAGAACCTGGAGCTTAGCTCGGTTGGTTTATGCATCCATCTTTAAAGGTGGCATTTAATAGGTCTGAGATTAAAATCTCAGCAACTGCAACCCTTTCTTCAATCCCTGGGTTGCAGCCTCCATTTTACCAAAAAAAAAAAAAGATTTCAAAGATAATTCTATATTGATGCCTCTTTGTTCAGTTGTTTGATGGGTATTTCTAAAGCATTTTGTTAGTTATATGTATTGTTTGATTGGTAGTAAGAATTTTTAGATTATTATCTATTTCCAACTAGTGGATAAATTGAACATTAACACATGGCTGTTGGATTCTGTTGAGCTCGCATTTAGTTTCGGACGTGTTATGTATATGGTTTAATGGATATGCTTGACCTTGTGATTTTTATTTGACAGTTAGTAACTTCTGTGGGTTTAATCCTCTCATCTTGGAAGCTGATTTGCTGTATCGTCATTCTGGGAATTATAGGCGATGTTCTAGTTTTGCATTTAGTCTTGTTTTTCTAGATAATGAAACTCATCATAACATATTTCCATCATATAGAAATGATTATGCCCTCATTGGCGACCCTAGTGAATAAGATTTTGATCTTTGAAATGATTTTCTTCATGGCATGTTTAACGGTTTTTTGTTCGATATCTAAGAGTGGAACATCACTTAGAATCATTTACGAATGAGTCCAAGGGTTGTTATTGCTTTATAACATACTTGGTTAAGTAGTCCTTGTCAAAATGCATCTGTTGTTAAACTTCAATCTGTTATGGTATTCTATCCTGCTGGTATATAAGTTGTCTTTCTCTTCTTTTTTAACAAACCCCAAATTGTGTCCTAATCTCGAAACAGCAAGCTGAAGAAAGGAAGACCAATGAAGAGATCAAAAAATGTTCGGAAGATGAAGGCTGTGGCAAAAGCAATTGCGAAGAATGAGAAGTATGTTGAGAAAAACTCAAAGAATGAAAACAAGAAATCAAGAACTCAATCAGCAAAAATGCTATACGACTGAGTATGTTAAAGAGTTTTATTGCAAAAGGAACTTAATATGCTGTCCTTCTAATCCAAGTATCTTCTACTCAGATGTATTTTTGGTAATTTAGCTATTCTTAGGTTTGTGTATAATTGGTTCAATTCTTACAATCACGACTGGTTAAACTACCTTTTGTAGCCGGCAGGATATTGAGGATTGGGGTACCATAAATTACATTAGAAGAAGTTTTGGAAGTGTTCATGAACATAATTTGACAGAGTTTTGTCATGCTCATAGATTTAATTCAAGCATTGATTTGTTTGCATTGTCCAATAGTGGAGTTGGAAAATTCTCTAAATTGTTTTTTAATCAAAGCTTGAGCTTCTCTTTCTAAGAAGAGATGGATTTAGAATGGGGTCAGCTGCCCTCAACTTAAATCCAATAACTTTTTCTTGTAATATTATTTTATGGTTATTATCTTTTATACATCGACAATGTACGTTTTAGGCTTCGTTCCATGTATGACTAGTGTAGATTTGGAAATTCAAAACGATATAGGAATATACTATATGAATACAATACAGTTTAAAATTTTAATAATAATTATATATATAAATTTAATAAAATAAAAAATATAATTTTTATATTTTTATGATTAATAATACGTAATTTTGATATAAAATATAAAATAAATGTATAAATTTTAATATTATTTCACGAACAATTCATTGAAGGGTCATGAAAATTCATTATCACTGAAGCAAAGTCTTCCATTGCTTTGGGAGTCGAAGGAGGGTGAGTATTACTTGGCTGAAAGGCTCGACAACACCTGTTTTGATAGAGGAAAAGGAATCTTCCTCTAAAGTTCATCTCGTAAAAGGCTTCAAATTATCCAGGTTTTAATCCCTTGCAAACTTGCCTACTTGAGCTCATCATAACCACCAAAGAAAATGCTAAGATTACCAAAATTATTTTTACCCAAATTATTTGTGGAAGATGTGAAAGCAGATTTATTTCCATTATTGAGATATACCTACCTAATAATTTCTTTTTTTATATTAGGAAAAATAAAAAAAAAATTTTGGAAGAGGAAATTTGAAGTTGAAGAATCATTTCCTTTTGCAACAATTGCATTGATCCTGATCATATAATTTGCTCCTTGTTAATTAGTTTAATCAATCAATATTACATAATTTTCCTCTCATTTAAATTGTTATGGTCATTTATTTATATAAATATGTAAATTTTAATTTTTATATTTTTAATGATTTTCTTGTATCTATTATGTTAATTATACATTTCTAACAATGTGTAAGTAATTGATAATCGAATGATTTAATTTTTTAAATATTAAATTTGTTATTTTTATTACCGATCATTTATATATATATATATATATATATGAAAGATTCACTACTAAAATTTAAAGATATTTTAAAAGATTTTAATTGTAATTTTAATAATTTTAAGAATAGAATAAAATAATCATATAGTTATTAAAAATGAAGAATATAATTCAATTAGTAATTAGAAACTCTTCTCGTCGAATAAAATCTTTTTCTGTTAAAAAAATTCTCAACCACTAGATCAATCCAACGGTTCAAAACCCTCACAGCTTTACTAGGGCGTATCTATCTCGATGTCAGTGTGACTAAAAATCTGACAAAAATTTCCAATCTTAAAAAACTGTCATTATCACTGTACTTTTTTGTTCACTCTTTTCACTGTCATATCATTTCAAAAAAAAAAAAGAAAAAGAAAGCAGAGGAACCAAATCTGTTCTCTGGGTTTTGTTTATTGAGGGAATCAGGGAAATGGCTTCTTCTTCAGTAATTAACAAGGCTTGTTTTCATTGCAAATCTCCTTCTGATAATTTCTTCACTGGTTGGCAACTTCGTAATGGCGGTTTCGCCATGCTCTGCCATCGGTGTGGGTAAGCTTTTGACGTTTTCTTTCACTGCAAATCTCACTCTTTGCATGTTGTTTTCCTTAATCTGTTTCTGAATGTGCATTTCTTGTTTGTTTTGTCTGTGAGCCTTTTTTTGTGTTCATTTGGTATTTGACTAAGATAAAGTTGGTTTTTTAATCATTATTTTTATTTTTTAATAAACTAATTTGATTGTTATGGCTTAAACTTAAAATTTCTGCACAGATTTCCAACCAAACATCCTCAGTGAAAATTGGTTTGTCTCAGTTTCTGTTTTTTAATTATCTTTTAGAACAAGATAGGAAATTTGAATACAAAAAATCTGTAGTTAAAACTATAATTTATTGTGCTCATTTTATCACAGATGTCATGTTGCAAGTAGTTTGAAAATGCATGCATTTCAGGCAAAGTAAGGTAGATAATTAGTATTATTTATTTATTTTTTCATTTTTTTCCACGTTTGTTCCTAAGAGTAAAAGTTTGGGAATTAGTGTATTGTAACCGTGAGAGAAAGTTAAATTTGTTGTGTTAGTAGATTAGGGGGCTATATAGAAATGATAATTTTTTCTCATTTTCGACTTGATTTGAAGAAAATGAAGCTTGGCGCTAATCTTGGGACGAAAAGAAGTGTATAATTTGCTTTTTTTCATCTTGATTTGTTGTTTTAAACTAATTGGCTGAGTTAACTTTGGCTTATCTAAGAAAAGAATTAGAATTTATGGCAAAATGGTATAAACTGTTTTCCACTGTGGATTGCTTGGACTTGGACTTAAGTATGGTTTTTAGGAACTTGATGCATAGGAAGGTAACTTCTTACCCAGCTTTTAAATTGAAGCCCTTTTATATTGCTCGAAATTTTTTGGAGTTAAACAATTTCGTCACCATTTTCTTTTTGTTATTGACTGTTTAGACCTATTTTAATTGCTCAGATATGCTTCCTTTCAGCTGAAATCATGGACATGGATTTTGTTTCTGTTTCTTCCATTCCCTTTGTTAATCTAAATTCTATAACAAGAGAAATTTATTGCCATGTTTTAGTTCTCTGTCTGCAGTCAGTTATTGAGGCTCTTTGTTATCAACTTCACTGTTCTCTGCAATGATTATTACAATGCCCTCCATATGTCGAGTCTGCCTTTCTTTCTTTCTTTTTTTTTCTTTTAAGGGTTCATGTTTGAAGAGCACGATTAAGAAAACTAGGCTAGAAATCCTGATGATTGCTGCCATTCATAGCCTTCACACCCTCACTTTTGCTTCTTGTCATATTGGTGACATAGAAGAATTGGAGATTTACTTACGAGAGAAAGGAAATGGAATTCTAGAACAAGTTGTAAATAGGATATCAAATAACAAATGAATTGAGTAACCACTGTTCCCATTGCCATTGTTGCTGTTATGTTTGTCTAGACTCATCCACCTATTCCTTCGCTATAATAAGTTATTTTTGCTAACAACTTTCTTCATTGCGCTTCTATTTCCTTTTGATGGTGTGAATCTCTCTTTATTTCATTTACATATTTATTTGTGAAATTTGTAATTAGAACAGTTGGTTTGTGACAAGTGTTTCAAGAAGTCAGGAAATGATGGTTATCTCCCTTCTTGTGATTTGCCTTGTTAGTGCCTTGATTATTTAAGCAGTGAATAAAAACAAAACAAAAAACGGTTAAGAGTGACTATGAATTATAATCATCAATTCATTGGAAAATTAAATAATATTTTTTAGGAAAGATAAGTACATTGTAATCTGTGACAAGCACTTAAATAACTCGATTTTTTTAATCATTTCTTCATAAATTTGAATATACATTGAGGCATCTATGGAGATTGGGAGCATCAAATGCAGAAACATGATTCATGGAGAAGAAGTTAAAATTCTTCTCATGGATAATTTCACTTTATTTCACCAACTAATTGGATAAATAAGACTATCCCTCATATCCTGAGGAGCTCTTCTCATCTTGTTGGTATATGCATGTTAAAACATAACCAGAGTTTAGTGGAAGAGACCCTTTTGAATGGAGGCTTTGTCTAAAGCTGTCAAAAGATTTAATAGAACTGGCTGGTCTAACTATGAACCTCAAATCTTATTTTATGGGCGTTTGGACTAGGAATTTCTTTAGGTGTCAGCAGTAAATTTTGATTTTATAAATTGAATTTCTATAGAGGCACCAAACTGATCTAAGAGTTCTATATCAAGAAATGTATAGAATGTTCTTTATTATTTGAGCTCTTTCCTTTTCAAATAATAGATAGCTGTTTACCGTACAACAATTAGGAAGGAAAAAGTTGGGAGAGATGAATGTTGTGTGATTTATAAGTTTGAGGAAGGAAAAAACAATCTATGGATTTAATTTCTATGTTGGATGTTTTCAGATCAGCAGATTGCTTGAGTACAGATGTTGGCAATCTGCATAAGTGTGAAATTTAGTTTGACAACAAGTTACACATGTGAGACTAAAACATTTATAAAAATTGATTCAGAATTATGGCATTTTCAGTATAAATGATGAATTGTACACCAATAGTTGGTTTAATCCTATCTTACTTGAAAAAGCAAGCAAAAGTCCTTTTCAGCGTGCTTCCTGAAATGTTTTGGTGTGTTGTCAAACTCCATTTGCTGTTACAGTTATAGTTAGTAGTGAAATGGAGTTGTTTTGGATTCAAATAATGAAACAATGTCGTATTTGTTCTGCTTTAATAACACTGGCTCTGTTGCTTTAAAAGTTATTGTATTAAATTGATCCTTTTCTCTTGCTTGCCCTTCCTCTTTTACTCTACTTTCACTGTCTCTTCCTCTATTGAGTGTGTGCACGTGTGCACGTGCGCACATGCATCGACATTTAATAGTGAAAACTAAAAATACATCCTTTATGGAAGTAAGAGGTATATCAATCTTATCTCAAATATGTTAGGCTGGATTTACTTGCATTCTAATAATTCAACAGAATACTTTTTTATTCACAATAGCTTGTTTATTTTTCAGCAAAAATTTTTAATGTTTACTTGGGCTGTTGTGGACATCTTCTACTTGAATGCTGCTTTTCATTTATTTGAGCTTGTTCATGTTTTTGAGGTATGAAACATGTTCTTAGGCTTTAATTTTGACATCATGAATTCTATGTTGAATTATTGGTGCATGCATATATGTGATTCTTAGAAGTTTGTATATGGTACTAGGTTTCAATTGATGATAGTACTTGGCATTATGAACTATATCTTCTTATTTAGCATCATTTGTGTTTCTCAGAACGTAATACCTGGAAGCTTAAAAAGGAATTTGAGGTATATTTACCCTCTATAGAGTTCATAAAAACTGACTTAGTCTTTTTTTGCAAATTCAGTTCTGCTTATAAGGATGGAACATTCTGTGACACTTTTCACCCTGAAGCCAGTGGTTGGAGAGATTGTGCTTCTTGTAAGAAGGTAAGATGAAAATTCTTGTTGATTTTGCATTTTCATTTCGCAGGTATTTAGGTGATTGTATAGAAAATTTTCTTCAGTATTTATTTATTTATTTATTTATTTATTTATCCTTAATTGGATTTTCTAGTCTGCAAATTGCTTTCACTAATGCTTAATTTTTCTTCCATTTGCTGCAGCAAATTCACTGCGGATGCATTATGGCATCCCATACATATACTATACTGGACTTTGGTGGTGTGAAATGTGCAGAGTGTGCCATAAATGAAGCTTTGGTAGGAGTCAGTTATCTGGCCCTCCTATCTTAGTTTTCATACCCTTTTTGTATGCAACTTGCATGTTATAATATTGGTAAAAACCAAATAATGTAGCCTATAATGCAATCATACTTAAAGTATACTTGGTGAATGACTTATGTATTCAAACTTAAAATGAGCATATACAGTTTTGAATTCTTCTTATTTCTCCTTTGTCTAAAAATATTAAAGTTATCAAATTTCAGACAAACAGTTTCTATTTCAGGCACCACACCGATGCTCGCCGACCTTCTGGAGCCCTGAGGTTATGCAGCATGCAAAGGACGTGCCTGGAGGACCATCTATTGACCCTAAGAGAGTGATAACTGGTGATTTTCAATACATCTTAGCTTTGGAATGAACTGAAATTGAAAAATAAATACATTTTGGTGATCTCCAGATTTTTAAGTGCTCTTGTTTGTTGACAATGGAGATGGACTGGTGTCATGCAAATATGAAGTCTCATATGCTGATTGTTTATAAATTTCTCATGGAAAGAGGAAAGGATTTTCAACACTTATCTGTTGCTGTGCCTAGGGAACTAAATAACAAAATAAAAGAGAAGGGAATGAGGACATGGATAACATAAAGGAAATAAAAGTTTTTACTTTTGGTTTTCTTTTTGGTGATGCTAGTGGCTGGGGGGGGGGGGATAGCACAAATTTTTTATTTTATTTTTTTATTAATGCAAATAAAAGAAATCTTGATTGAGGAAAACTCCCATGTTAAGCGATCACATTTTGGCTAAAATGATGTGCTCAATCAGTTCTAAAGTTGAAGTTCAACTGGCTGTGTTAAGTGTTTTTGGATAGGAAGAGTAGTTTTGTTATTCTTTTCACCACAAACAAACAAGGAATGCATATGAAAGTTGCATAATTTTTATCTTTATCCTCTCCTTCAGCACTCACAGCAATAGCTTGTCAATTGTCATTTATCTGGTTTCTAGTAGGAAGGAAAAGTGACTCCTCTCCTGTTGCAGGAATTAACTTAGGAGTTGATCCAATTCCATCCCCTGATTCTGTGGTATGCAATGCCTCACCTAATAAGGTAGCCACTCTAACGACTCCTGGAGCAGTACTTCAAGCACAATCTCCTTTAGTAGAAATTGGAGAAGAGTCCTCTGTAAATTCACCTGATGAAATCAATACATCTCATCATAAGAGTGGTGGAAAGCATCGAAAGAATGCCTATAAACAGACTCAAGTACAATCCAGATACTCGCCGAAGACCAGCTCGGAGGAGCTAAAGGAAATCTGCAGACTGTATCCACTATCCTTGAGTTTATTCTTGTGCTGTTGACATTATTTTCTAAGGATTATCTGGTTGCCTTACTGTATGATACTGGGAGTAGTATACATTTGTTACTGTGTTACTTTAATATTTTAGCTTGATATAACTTTAATGCACTATCCTGGTTCATATTGAACTTGATGTCTAAGAGATTGTGAGTCCTTAATCATATTTCAGGTCACAATCAAGTCTTATTCCTTTGTTTGAGAAAGAATTGACTGCTAGTGATGCTGACCTCAGGAATGGGCGCCTTGTGTTACCAAAGAGATGTGCAGAGGTAAGTTTTTGCAGATTTAAATTTTTTGAAGTTCTTAAGTTTGTTTGGAGGGTAACTTAAGTTTCTTGATGGAGATTGTGCAACAGCTGGGGTGACTCTAAAAGAAGCTTGAGAGCCTTTTTCAATTTTTACTCTCCAATGAGAAGATAATGCACCTGATTATGATTGGACAAATTCTTTTAGTGCAGCATTTGTATTTACTGTAATTTAATTTTCTACAATTTTTTTTATATTTTCTGTGTATATCTCACACTTAAATATTGAGTCATATAAGCTGCTATACTGGCCTTTATATGGTAAAACATTCAACTTTCCAAACTCATCTGTGCACTGGAGGCTGTTAGGCCTCTGACATCATCTATATATTTAATATACCTTGCAGGGAGATTTTGATCTGCATCTTTTTCTTTCACATTATCCAGTTGCAGCATAAGATGTTCCATCAGATGATGATGGTTTTTTATAAAGCATTACTTGATTTTAAAGAGAGAGGGGAATGGGCATTGGGGATTTCCTCTTTAGTTTCCTTTTGAGAAGATATGACATCTAGTCTGGCTACAGCAAATTCATTCTGTATTTAATTTTTTCCCTGATAAAGATTAGATATATTTCTTGTTTTGAAAGAGACAATATCGCAGGCTTATTTCCCAAAAATTTCGGGCCAACAAGGAAACTTCATTGCAGTACAAGACACAAAAGGAAATGACTGGGAACTTTACTATCGTTACTGGTCAAATACTAATGGCAAGATGTATGTTCTTGAAGGGCTTAAAGATTACATAATCTTGATGCAATGGAAAGCAGGTGATAGAGGTAATTGACATAAGTGTCTAACAATTCTTAACCTATACTTTTGTTTTCCCTTTCTAATAAGATGTGTATTTTTTGGTGTAACTGGCATTTGAATCATACATTGATACTTCTTATTTATCTATTCCATCTTACTATTTAGTCCCAACCAAGTGGCAAATTTGAGTTTAGTTGTGCTTGATAAATGATTGACTTTCAGATGCTTCAAATTCAGTATCATCGAACTTTTGTATGAACATTATTTGCTAAATTTACTAATGACAGTTCCAGTTCTTCACACACCTTAAAGATACTCTATCCAGCCATAATTTACTTTGTCAGAAACATTTTCAAAAGTTTTAAGATTTATTTTGTTTCACCTGTGATTTACTCTTTTATTTTGCATCAGCAGACAACTTATAACTAATTAGTGCTTGAGATTGATGAAAATTTTCAGTTACATTTTATAAAAGAGAAGCAGATGGAAAATTGGTCATGGGATTCAAAAAGTATCAAGCTGCCAAATCAGACCAGAAGGTATGGTGTGCTAATTAAGTTAACTAATTTTTTTTATTGTGTCCATGAAATTATGATGCCAGATAAGTGCAACATTTAATGATGCCCATTTATTCTGTGTTAAGTGATTCATGAAAAATCTGCTTCAAGTCTATAATATGTCAATGTTTCAATGGTTGATGCATTTCATTAAAGGGTCAGATATATGCTAGGATAAGGCTGCAAATAAGATCATCATGGTGATAGCGACGATACCAATGACAATAATAGGAATAGTAACAAAAACAATAATAGTAACTCCTGTTTCCCTCATGAATAGTATAAATCATCACTTAAATGTTGGTGGCTTTAATCAGAAGGAATCCAGCTAGGATGTCTTTAGCATTGGCTTCACTGTAGGCCCTTAATGACGACATTAATCCTCCAAAGAAAATGCCAATTTTAAAATGCTGTTAGAATGACAAAGTCCTTCTAAGGTTGTGAGTTGTGAATTGTGAGCAACCAGTGATGGGAAATACCTGTCACATTCACTATGATGTACACATAATTTGAATAGCAATATATGTAGCTTTCTTTTACTAGGTAGATAGATACATTCCTGCTGTCACCATGTAATAATGGTAGCCTACTTGCCTTCTATTTATTGGCCTCTTTCTTCATAAATTATATAGCATAATTATGGTCTTCAAGTTCATTCTAACACAAATTCTTGAGGTGCATATACTATTTACCTAAAAAAATTGAACCCTGGATATCTTCTTGTCAGAATTTTTCAAGTATAATTTGATGTCTGTACTGTCGACATGATAAACCATAACCTTTCATCTTAGTAGAATAGATATATTTTTTCTTGTTAGGAACAATTTTTAACATATAGGGAATAGAGTTTTCCAGCAGATGGTCTTACAAAGATTACAATTTGACATATGATGTTTTATGGATTTTATGTTTGTGAACAAAAAGTTGTTTTACCATTCTAAGATTTCACACTTTCTTTTCCAGAGCTCAACATGATGTTTTGAAAACAACTGTACCCTTCAAAGACCAGTGTGAATCTTGTGCTTTTCATCGAAGGTGTTGAGGTCCTTTTTACACATGATGTCATCAGTCAGCGAACTAGTATGTTGATAAATCAAAGAAGTCAGCTTCTTTGTGGCTGGAATACTTCTAATTATCTTTCTTCTGTTAATAGTCAAAATAAACTTGCTATGGTAATTTGCAGTACCCTAGGATTGTTTTTGAACAATTTAAAGGGGCAATGGTTGTTAGTAGAACCTACAAGTTAGAAAGTTGAACCATATACCAAAATCATAATCTTCTGCGATGAACTTGAAATGTGTGCAACTCAACAGTATTAAGTATTAACAGGTGAACTTATTGATGCTTTCAGTTCTATTTATGTAATTTGGCCAAGAAAACTATACTTATGCAATGATTGTTTGAAAGTTTTTTAGTATTGTAGTACCTTTATATTGGAAAGACAAATTTGTCGTTTAGACTTGAGGAGTAATGAACTAAGAAGGGAGCGAGCTAGGGTCCATGGAAAAATTAATTTATTAACATAGTTCTGTTGACATTATAGTGAACAATATGTGCTTTTTGCATATTATGATGTTTGTGAAGCGAATCGTTGAATTCTTAGTCATGAACTTTTAGAAAAAAGAAAACAAATCGATACCAAGCTTGGCAATATCTCAATCCTACAGCATATTCAAACATGTTTCTTGAAGTAAGATGATTATTGTTTGAAAAGGCAATGAAAACTTGTGTTGAATGTTGGTCCAGAATAAAATCTAATCGTGCATAAGAATCATCAAAAGTAGTGGTAAAAAGATATAACTACAACATTTAGATTGCGAACATTTTCACTATATTTAGTTTGTAGGCACATAAATGAAGAGAAAGCAGGATCAATGTAAACTAGTTAAGGAAGGGCCACAAGAATCACTGATAGAGTATTACAAAGATGAGACTTCACTGAGTTATGTGGAGAAGACCTCATTAGACTTGCGTGGCTTAGTTTGTAGTTTCACAGTGAGGATAGGCATTGCAAAATTTTCAGAAAAAATGGGACAATCATATAGGAATTTTTTATACAAATTTTTCTTAAAAAACCAACATGAATCTCTATTTGTCTTATGGATTGAGACAGAAGCAAAGAGTTTTTCAATTCTTAGTTGTTGATTTTTTTGAAAAAAAGGGATTTTTGAGTTCATCTGTTAAGCTGAAAAAAGTTGGAAATCACATTAATTTTTTATAAGTATATGGACAATGAATATAACATAACAAACTTCTAGTTTTACGGATTTCAAACATATGGAGTTTGTGATTTATAGGAGGAAGCAAATTCTTGATTTCCGGAATTGTTCCACTGGTTTCTTTTGTATCAAGGCTGTTCATTTCCTTTCAACTTTCCTTCTAGTTTTGGTTTCTTTCAAAGTGCAAGATCACTGTCAACTTCTTCCTGCCTTAAATAAGAAACTCCTGTCAAGGAAGATGCATGTTGTTGGTGTGAATGATAAGAAGACAAAAACCTTTTATTCTGTCACTATTATGATGGAAACTTTCATTGTTGGCAATCAGAAGAGATTGAGGTGGCCAACAGTCACTGCCTCGCAATTAAGCAAGCTCAAACAGCTATGTTACTTGAGAAGATCTAAACACAAGATTTTTTTTCTATTAATATTTATTAGCTGCACGTTATTTGGTTGAGTTGGATTTTTATGTTTCTAATGTGTAATTTAGTAATGCCATCAAGTCTAACCTTTAAACTTAAATGTCACAACTCAGGAATCTGTTCTGCGATTAATACAGTAAGCTATATTTAGCAATAAACTTCGCTTTGCATTAATGAATTTAGACCTTGTTAGAAAACATTATTGACTGCCTATCTGTCTAGCCAATTTATAAATGGAAATTTGGTAAGAGAGATGAATTTACCATATTTCTTCTATTAATGGGATCTTTTCTATATTAATCAGTTGTTTAGCAGCAGGAGTTTATGTTCCTTATTTTCTTGCTACACATATACTTGTACGTGTATAAACACACTATTTCTAATAGGAAACTGTTGAAACAGCTATGATTTTCTATTAGTTTCCATGTTTCAGCTGCCTATCATCCTAATCCGTCTCATAAATTCATGACATTTGGTTTATTTTCATCAACTGAATGTTACCAATATGTTTTTTGAAACTAAATAAAAACACAAACTAACCAAAAGAAGAAAAACACAAACTAACCAAAAGAAGAAAGCATTTGATATCTGAAGCTGTTGTGGTGATTCACTAACTGGTAACTGCAGGGGAATATTTGTTCATTAAATATCAAATTCATCGATTGTTGATCTTTGCTGCATGTTTATTACTAGATCTAACAATTCATGTACTGGTGTCGTCTCTGATTCGTGTCAAACATGTGTCAAACATGAAAGTCTACTTATTACTTTGTATTTATATCTTGTTTCAGGATGATATTTTTTCTAAAAGCCTTTAGTTGGAATCCTATAATTAGGAAAAAAATAAAGTTCATATATGTATATGTATAATAAGTTTACAGATAGCTTTGTCAGGAACTGACCATTGTGGCATTTGTTGATGTGGATTCTCATATGGCGGTTACGTTGGTGTCAAGTAGGTTCAAGGACATCTGAAAGGTGCCTCTCTTCTTAATATGGACAAAAAGGGATTATCCTTGGCATACCAGTACACATATGTGGCTCCACTTCAACATAACAAGTAAGCTGGCTCACTGGTTAACAGTTGTCAGGTTAGATTACAAGTCTGATTCCTCACCACACTGCATTTCATATATGGCCTGAAAAGTGAAAACTGAGTTGCTCTTTGTATTTTTCTTTTCATTTTTCTTAAAACTGACATAAAAATACATATGGATGCTGCAGTTTATATAAATTCCTTATCTCCAGCTGATGTCTCTTATTCTACCCAAGGTTCTTACAAATATGGTTTAACTTCAAGGAACTATAGTCTTTGCAGTAATACTAAATATAGTTTCCTTTTATTCTGTTTGTCAGTCATACCTATAAGACAAAATTAATTGAGGATGAGCTTTGTGAAGCGCTGAATTTGGATGACAAATGCTGACTTTACGGTTAGTGGCACTGCTGTTTTTCTTGCTCAACTTCTGGTTTTGGTAGGGGAGGCAATGTTTAGTACTAAAGCAACTAGATCATGCAATAGCTTACCTTGCTTTATCTGTTCCGGAATTCTCAATAGCATGTCTCTTGACCGGGAAAATTTTCGTATTCAGGTCAGATGTACAATTTTTGTTCTTTTCACCATATGTTGTAATCCATCAAAGAATATAAATTGAGCCTTATTGCATTTGATCAGATTGCTAGTGTTTTTCCTCAGAAAATGATTTGGTCTAACAGCAATGAAGTGAATGCTGCTGACTCCATGCAGTTATATTAACAAGGACAGTCAATGAGGTAGTGAATAATGTACCAGGATACATTTTGCCTTTCATTTGTGTTAAAATCCTTGGTTAGAATTATTCTGGTACACAGGTTCTTATTAGAGTTTTCTAGAAGAGTAGCGTCTGAAAAAACAGGATATGATGAAAATTTGAAGCCTTTTGTGGAGAATTGTTGTCTATTCTTGGCCTATATGGGAATACTTGTTAGAGGCATGAAGGGCTGTGTTATAGCCTGTGACAAACTGACCCTTACTTCCAATGGGTTGGGGTTAGAAACTTAGAATGTTATGTAAATTGTATGAATTGAAAATGTGATGAAAATGAAAATTTTTATTCGATTATTTATTTAGATCAATATTAATAATGAATACGTAGTAGAGCTTCGTCGTAATGGTAAGGTTGCTGTCATATGGTTTGGATGTCATGGTTTCAAATCGTAAAAATAATTTTCTTTTGAAAATGTAAGATAAGGCTGTCTATGTTAGATCCGGCATTTTCCAAGTCGCGGAAACAGTTTCTCGTGAAAATGTAAGATAATATTATCTATATTAGATCTAATGGATCTAATGCATAGCAGAAGCTTTATACATTAAGCTGACCTTTTTTAATATTAATAATGAATAGTATAACCGCCCAATAGATCTCTTATTTAGCCCAATACAGACTATAAAAGCCCACAGACAAATTGTCTATTAGCCCACTGCGGCCCATGTAAAGCCCAGCAATCCAAGTAACCGTCAACATCGATCCGTTGAACTTAAACTGGGAAAACCGTTAAAACACGAAACATAATTGTAAAATATCTCCCTCTTTCTGTTTGGTTACCGAGAAAAAAAAAAATCAACAAATTCAAAATCCCCACAAAGCTTTCTAAACCGCCAAACAGAGTTCGTATCTTTTAATATGGCATTCGTCCTAAACCACGGCGCCAGCTTCTCCTCTCATTTCTTCAAAATCTCAAGCATCAAAAATCACCGAAGAACCAGTTATGGTAAGTTAATATTAACTGATTAGCTGTTTAATTTGTTGAAATTAACGAATTTTAAGCTCTGAAACTTTTTACTTTTTTATTTTTCCAGGAAAATATACTATGGCCATTAATAAGCCAACGGGAAATAAGGAACTTTGCAAAGATTTTGAATCTTTGAAATTTACTCTTGTAAATACTATAGCAGGTAATTACTGAGAAATGTTTTTAACTTCATATAATGATCGTTCTAATAATTTGTTTAGTTGTAAGTTGCTTTATGAGTGATGGGTTTTTTTTAATTATTTTCATATTTTAAGTTTTAATTTCTATTATAATTGTTTTTAGTGGCAAATTTGGTTGCCATTGACTCTGCAAAGGCTTTAAGTGAAGATAATATCTTGGTGAGTTCAATGTTTACCCTTTTCTTATCTTTCCAGTTCCATTTTTCCACCCAATGTTTTAAAATTTACCTTCATAGGCTAATATTTCCATAGATTAAATTGGTTTTCTTTAGTATACCATCTTATTTTTTCAGTATGTATGTCAACTTCAAGTTATATAAATAATCTTAGGAACTTGAATTATTTCGTTTGAGGCAGGAACAAGCTGTTTCTCTTTACACTTTGGCTGATGGAAGTCCTGGAGATTGGTTTGGAGGCCTACTATATTCAGCTGGCCAGCAGGCTAATGAAGCTGTTCAGGGCCAATTATCAGCTTTGAGTTTCACTAGGTTCTTTTCTGTGCTTTTCCCTTTAAATGCAGCGCTATTTTCTGAGGTTGGCAATCGGTATTATTATTATTTTTTTTTTCGTTGCAGTTTGGCTGTTATTTTTGGGGCTGGTCTTGTAACAAGTCTTTCTCCATGTACATTAAGTGTTTTGCCTTTGACACTTGGTTACATTGGTAAGTAATACGCATTCTTTGCATAAAGCTCAATGCATTGTAAAAAATGATGCTGTTACTTTCTTGCATGTCCTCTCATGTTTGATGCTGATCTTTTGACTTATCCGAACCTTCTAGGTGCATTTGGCTCTGGCAAGGGAAAAACTGAGGTAATAGCTTGCTATGTGATTCATCTCCTTTTTGCCTCTACCTTTTGGTCTTCATTGAAGCATTGAAACTTGCATATGGAAATATTGTTATAAGTCAATCGTAATTGCTAGCTCTCTTCATTAGAAAATTGAAACAAATTAATGATTCAAAAACATTTTCGCTCATAGATGACGTAAAAGCCTAAAGTTACATATCTTGGTTCAGGTTGAGTTTTCAGCAGTGATGATGCAGCCTGTTCTTCTGTATTTTCTTTACCTTTCTATTTATGAAGTTTCTTATTCTAGCTAAGCATTTGTATCTTCTGAACTTGTCCTTGATAGTTATTATAGCATGTGTACTATGTTTATGTAACTAAATCCAATTGAAATATATATGGGTCCTCCCTCTCTTATGCATGAGACACACAAATGCAATCATGGATGTAAAGAGTGTTTGTTCTCAAATGACTTTGAGGTTCTTTGTTGGTCAGATTATTGTGAATTCAATCGCTTTCTCACTAGGATTAGCAACTACACTTGCACTCCTGGGTGTTGGAGCTTCCTTTGCTGGGAAGGCATATGGACAGATAGGGCAGGGGTTGCCATTGGCTGCTTCGGGTTTGGCTGTTATTATGGGTCTTAATCTACTTGAGGTATTGAATCAAGCTACTTCGATTTGATTTATGGGTTTTTTTAGGGTTAAATGTTCCAGCAACGGGATTTAATTTTTGTCATCAATCATATAATTTTTCTCATTTATATGGAAGGAATTCTTACACTTTATTTATTTATTTCTATCTTCTAGCAAAAAAGAAAAGGCTTATAGAAGGTTGATTTCAGGGTTTTTTTTTCCCTTTTAATATTTTGGATTTCCTGAAAAAAAGGTAATAAAGGAGAAACTGCCTCTGAAGTTCATATTTTTTTTAACAGTGTGTATGAAGCTTCTTTATTCCTGTCCGTCACATTGCCATCTGTGCTTGAATCTGTGGGTTTTTTAAGTTTTTCTATTGCCATCTATTTCTTGGGGGGTTGGAATGGGATGTTACAAGTTATTCCTATGCCTTAAAGTTTCTGCATTTTAAGTGGCGTGGTCAGAATTACAACTCTAGATGGCTTCAAATTTTATGTAGCACTGCTATTAGATTAGAAATGTTTCAATCATGTATTCAAGTTTGTTATACATCTGATCTAATTATTCTTCTTTCTTTGTGAACTAACATTGCAGGTCATTGAATTACAACTTCCATCTTTCTTTAACAATTTTGACCCTCGTGCTGCGGCTGCCAATTTCCCATCGGGTAACCGATTCGATTAAATTCCCCTACCTAACAAAAGTTAATTATATGAATGAATCTCTAAAACATTTTAAAGGCGTTAATTTTGAAAATTTTTTTATATTTTAGGTGTCCAAGCATATTTAGCTGGGCTTACATTTGCATTAGCTGCCTCACCTTGCAGCACTCCAGTTCTGGCCACTTTACTGGGATATGTAGCCACATCCAAGGTAATCTACAACCAAAGAAAGAGACTGCAGCTGTTAAAGTGAATGCACCTTCAAGTCTATAGAACAATGATATCAGTCTTTATTTGGCATAAACCATATATATATATATATATATATTTACGTAATGCAGCTAAGGCTATAATAAGTAATGTGTTGCAACCATATAACAGGATCCAGTAATAGGAGGCAGCTTACTGTTGACATACACAACTGGCTATGTAGCTCCTCTACTTCTGGCTGCTTCTTTTGCCGGAGCTTTGCAGGTACGCATGAAGTCGTTTGTTTAGAACTGAATTCTGTTGTTTTGGAAGATACATGTCCATTTTTGTTATTGGAAGACACAAATCTGTTGTCCAAACTACAGAAAATCATTAACTAATTACCGCCAACTTGCTCCATCTTTCTCTGCTAATGTACTTAAAATTATTATTAACCCGAAATTCAACTTATTGTATATGTACTTGCAGAGTCTGCTGTCATTCAGGAAGTTCTCAGCATGGATCAACCCAGTGAGGTATGGTATAGCTTTTGTCATTGCTCAATTCGGTCTTCATGCGCCAATGTGACAATAAGCATCTGGTTTTTTGTTCCTCATAGAAACTGCTCTTAGATTTGCAGTATATATTTGCTCTCTGACACATGGTTAAAATCTGATTTCTTTCGCAGTGGAGCTCTTCTACTGGGTGGAGGTATATATACTTTCTTGGATAGGCTTTTCCCTGCCACGATGGCAATGTAAAGACATCTCTGCAAGTTTAGATGTGATTTTCATTTTGGTCTAAGGTGACATTTTCAGTTAAATTTAAAACATGATATGAACAGCTTATGTTTATTTTTCCTAAGTTGGAGGATATATTAAATTTCCATTTTAATAAGATTGAAGGTTCCCAGACTCCTTGTACTTTGTTCATATTTTGAAATGGATGAAACTCGTTAACTGATAAAATAGTAGTCTTTGAAAATTATTAACCCTATCCTCAATGAAGTAAAAAGGGTGTAACAGAATGCAAATGGCTTAGATAAAGATGACAATTGGATGAGTTGGATTGGATTATCTCAGGTTGAAGGAAATCCGGGTCACTTCAGATTTAAATTATCTCAAATTCAAATCGATTCAAATTCAAATTAATTAGGTCAATTTTACTAGCTCTAATTTGGTATAACATGATGATGTGACAAATTTACATCTGAAATACGAATAAGATAGATGAATATGTCAGGAAGATGACCATTTTCAATCCACCTAATACCAAATATTTCTACAAACTAGCTTGACATTGTAAAGTTTATCAAAACACTATTGTTCGTCAGAATAGGAATGGTGGTCGAGTCGGTTTGAGTCTTTTTCAAATAAAAAAAGAAAAAAAAAATGTATGAATATATTTAGCATACATTTTCTTAAGCTGCTGAAACCGAAATCTGAACAATCAGGTTTTGAAAGAGATTTGCCAACCATAATCATCCTGACTTTACAAGTAATTCTTTGACAAATTTGAACAATTAGTTGCAGGGGGCCCAAATTTATGGGATAAGATTGCTGTAGCTTACTCCCGTATCGTTCAAGGAAATGACACCAGTGAACAGAAACCAAAATGTCTATTAAACTAGACTGTGACCTCACCGGTCAACATTAATAAATGCAAGCAGTTTTTAATGACATAGGGGACCATTTAAAACACTGGGAGAGGCTAGAACCTGAGGTATACATTCCCTCAGGTTTTTTTTTACCTGTTATTTAAGAGTTAAATTCGCTAAAATTAAAAATAATAATAATAATAAAATTAATTATTATGCCAGTAAAATTAAAATTAATAATAAATATATATATTTAAAAATAACACAGCGGTGAAAATGAGTTAAATTATAATAAAAAATAATAATCATTAAAGATATTATATTAAAATTTATATGTAATAAAATTTTTAAATTATTTAATATTTATAAAATAAATAAATTATTAATTATTAAACTAATTTTATTATAAATAATAATTTTATTAATAAAAACATTTTAAAAAATAATATTTTTATTTTATTAATTAACAAAATTATTTTATATTTTTTAAATAAAAAATTAAAATGAAAAATAATAAATTAAATTATAAAGAAAAAGCAGGTTCAATGCGCTTTGCACGAATTTTTCATAGAAAACGTAGTCCTATCGTGGGTACGTTTAGATCCAAATTAAGCCTATCGCTTCGTTTAAATGCGCGATGAAATTAATTACAATAAAATTAAAAATAATAATAAAATCATTATAATTATGATTAAAAATTATAAATATGATTAAAAAATTTTAATAAAAAAATTATATTTAATAAATTTTATTAAAATTAATATTTAAATTCAATTAATAATATTATAAATTCAATCACATTGTATAAAAAATACAATTAAATTCAAATGAGCACTAATTTAGATTAAAAAAAATTTTGAACCCTATCCAAAGAACAAAAAAAATCATGCATAAATTATTACATCAAATATTCGTATATAGATAATTGATTTATTTTTTAGTTGGATAAAAAAAATTTTAAATTTAATCGAAGAACAAAAATTTATATATCAATTATTAAATCAAATGTTTGTATACAAATAATTGATTTTTTTTTTTACTTAGATAAAAATGGATTTAAACTCTGTTAAAAAACAGAAAATTAACATCTACTATTAAATCAAATATTTAAATATATATAATTGAATACTAGACTTGAATGTTCAGACCACAAATGATTGATTAAAAATTACTTTTATCATATTTTTACTTTGCCATAAATGTATTTCCTAAGATAGTAATGCATCTATTTCTAAAGAAAAAGAATTTAATTTTGGATCATATATATACAGACATGGAATTGGAAGTATGAGCAAAACTTAAACAAGGAAAATTCATGAACCATGATCATTAATGTGAAGGCTAACCACTAATAACCATATAACAAAACAATAAATTAAAAATACTATAGTTATTATTATTTTTGTTATTTATTGAAATAATTTTTTCATGCATATTGTTATCATCTTTTGCTTAATATGATCAACCCATGGAAAAAAAAAAACCCATTTAAAACAATTATATGAAACACATCTATTTAAATTTAAAGGAAAAATAATGAAAATTACTGTCATTAATATATTTGGCTAATATGCATAAAATCATGAAATTCCAATAAAAAACATTTCGGAAAAAAAAAAAGTAAACTAAAAACACACAAAAACTTTTTACAAAGCAGGAATCATTTACCCCACTAAAAAAAGGTAGAAGTAAAATAAAAGAAAAGAGAAAATTTTACTTTTTAACCCTCCGAGGTTACTAAAATCTCTACTCTGCTCCTCTCCTAATCATCTCCTGATACTGATTCAAAGACTCCTGCCTTTGCAACCTCATTTCCTCATTGAACTTCTTAATGAACGCTTCCACTCGGCGGTTCAACTCGTCCTGGCTCAGCGAGGGGTCCCTCTTGAGTTTTCCCGAGCCAGAAGAACGAGTCAGTGACGATTCCCTGGAGCGTTCGCTGAAGGTATCGGATTTCTTCACGGTGTTGGGGAGAGGAGGGGGAGGAGCATTGTGGACCTTTGGAGTCCGTTGTTCCCACGTGTCGGATTTCTTCAGGTGACGTGTTAACGGCATCGAACGTCCCTCCGTTATTGTCTTCCACGTTGTCTCCAATGTGTCGTGCCGTTTTGGCTTCGACACTCTCAAAGCTTTCCCTGAAAATTTTGCACCATCATTTATCAAATTCACTGTTTTACCCTTACAGACAAATATTAAAAAATTGAACATGTCATTACCCTTAGGGTTAATTTTGACTTTTCAAGTATGCACTTTGGCATTTCATTTTAAAATTCTCATACAAGAGATCTAGAGAGTTTAGTAGTTTACCTTCCGTAGCCGCTTTCACAGCTTTCCGCTGACCAAACCTCTTCGAAACCGGCGGTTTCTCCGCCGCTTTCTCATTCAACAAACTCACAAGCTCCATAGACTCACTCCTCACCGGCTCCACCTCCATCACCACTTTAACCTGCTCCTCCTCACCGCCACCGTCCACCACCACCCCTCCCTTACTCTCCTCCACCGTCTTCAAATCCTCCGCCACCACAACCCTTGCAGCAACACTTCCATAATTATACTCACTACTATACACTTCACTTGAAACCTTGACACCCGGCAAAACTATATCCGGCGAAGAATTGTGCTGAGCAGGGTTTTGCTTCTGCGAGAGCTTAGAAGAGGCGACGATGGAGATGATGATCCCGTTGACAAGAAGGTAAAGATACGGAGGCCGAAGAAATGAAAGTATTAAGCTGTAAGTTGAAGGAATACCAGATGTTATAAACTCTGTCACAAACGGAGCAGAAACTTTAAACAAAACGGCGACCGATATAATTCCTGTCGATATCAACGCCGTTTTTAGAGAAAGCATTAGATTTGCCATTAGTGAAAAGGCTTAAACTTTTTTCTCGGGAAAATAAGGTTAGAAAGTTGTGGAAAATGATGGTGCTTGTGGATAATTATATAGGGGAAGTTGGGGCGTTCTGTAATGAATTTTCGGCCGTTTGATTGTGGATCAATGAGGGACCAGGCATTCCGGTGTTGAGAAGTGACACGTTTGCAAGCGGTGACATGGGCTTTTGCCCACGTGGTAATGTGCACAATTGGCGTACGGTTCAAATATTTGTTTGACTCTTCTTCGTGTTGAATATTTATTTATTTTGCCATTTTTGTTTAATTAATTTTTAGTGTCAATAATTTCTGCGTTTAAGATCTTATAAGATATTAAGATTAGTATCCCAAACATTTAAAGTGAAAATTTTAAATTTCAATAAAAAATAAAAAGTTATCACGTGTTTTTTTATTATATTTATTTATTAATTTTTAAGATATAATGTTGTGAATAATCGATTTAAATAATAAAAAATATTTAATATTATTATAAGAATTTAAAGAAATTTTTATATAATATTTAAATTATAAATTTATTAATTAATATAATATTTAAAAAATTATTTATTCATTACGTGTCATCATTTAAAGTTAATAATGTTAAGAATGAATATTATATTCATTAACATATTTATAATTTAAATACATATTACAAATTTTTAAAATCTAAATATCATATTTCTCAAAAAAAAAAATCATATTAAATATTCCAAATTTAAAGATTATTTTTAATATTAACTCATTCTTTAAATATATCAATAGAATTTAAAAGACGTGTGAGCGTTTACTAAAAATTAATTATAAATTAATATAACTCCATGTGGAACTAATACAAAGGGTTACCCATCAAACTTAGTATTTAATTTAATTAATTTATATAATTATTTTAAAGAATAACACTTAAAATTTTAAAATTTAAATTATAACATTTATATTTTTTATTATAAATTAAGACTTCTTTTATATAAAAAAATCATCATCCATCCAACATGCATGGGGGTAATATTGTAATAGCAAAGACAAAACTATATATAATGATCAATTTGGGCAATTAAAGACAACAATTTGTCTCACAAAACACTAGCCATATTGTCGAACTCCAACAAAAAGCAAATTTACAGTTCCCAATGGCATTGCCTTAAAATTTAATTAATCACATCCCAAAATGTGCCATTGGATCCAATATTTGTCTAGATTTTGAAGAAATTTTCCGTCACAAATTAATCTTGTAATAATTAAATCAAGGCTTTACTTAACATAATCTGCCAAAAGAGAATCTTGAAAACAAGCCAATATTGTCATGTTCAAAGCAATATTTAAAGCTTAATTTTTTGTGTTAGGATTGTTAATTAATGGGTTAATATTGTAAATAACCTCTTAATTTATAGTCAAATATTTAATGTAATAGTTAAATTTTAAAAATTTTTATCATAATTATTGAATTATGAATTATTAATTAATATGATATTCATTTTTAACGTATACATGACACATAAATAACCTTTAAATTATCATATTAATTAATAAATTTATATTTTAAATATCATATTAAAGATTTTTCAAGTTTAATAATAAATGAAATATTTTATTATAGTTGTTGATCATTTGAAAGATTAAACTTTAATTAATTTAAGATCCAGAATCTCCGGCAGCCATGAATGGTGGGTCATTTGGGATTACAGCCATGTGCCATTTTAGCATGGGTGGTGCACCCCTTGACCGACCATAGATTAACCTTAATTAACACTAACAGCAGTACAAGTTGACCAATTCATGAAAAGACAAACCCTTTTTTTTTTTTTATCTTTCCTGTAGTATTTGTTTTTAGTTTATTCTTAATAGTTACTATAATTTTTCCCACATTTGAATCTTTGATTCATTTTGGAGCTTGATGTTGCATGCACTCAAAATTAAATAATCAATTAAGTAGATGATAACTTAGTTAGACAAAACCAATCTTATATTTTTTTAATTTAAAAAATAGGAAGTTACTGCTTTTAAAGTGATAAATCATGTTCATATACACGAAATAGAAATAAAGTAAATTAAAATTTGAGATCTTTTACATGAAATTTAAGAAAGTAAAGTGAAGTTTTGAAAAGAAATTAATTAATATTATTCACTATATATAATTTTTGTTGCTAATGCAAATGTGTGTAAATTCAATCTGTGTATAAGTAAAATAAATAATTAAATTTGGTAGTTCTAACGAGTGTGAATGTTTTTATAATAAAACTAGATCCAGCTCATGATGGATTTATGAAAGTTGATATATCAAGACCTAACATGATCAGATGCCATGGTTCTTCAAGACTTAGATCCATATTTTATTTTTAATAAAATAAAATTTCAGATATTTTATTACAAAACCATAACCAAAGTCGACGAGTAGTTTGTCACTGCCTTACCGACCTGTACAGTTTCCATGTGCTTGTTATTTGTTTTTTTTTTTTTTTTATTTCACACCAACTTCGTCTATCACAAAGAATATTCAATTTTTTTTTCTTTCATTTAGTATCATAATTATGATCATATGCCCTCACATATTCGAAGCACAATCATATATATAGTTAATTGAGAAGATTTTATTTGATTTATGTTCGAGTCAACATTCTTATGTTTAAGATTTAAGCTATGAAGATTTCGAGTTCAATTATTAATTTAAGAAAAAGTGAGATTTTTTTGTTTTACTTTTAAATCTTAAAGTAAGTATATGGCCGACCCAAAATAAACAAATTAAAAACATGCTTAATTGGGAAGTTTGGCCACCTAATATTGGTTTGTTTTTAGTGGATTATTTCAGTTAATTTATATAATTATTTTTAAAAATATCTAATAAATTTGAAATTAAAATATCAATATTTACAATACATTTTTCTATCCTCAAATTACTGTCTTTTTTTTACAAAAAAAATTTAATTTGTTTCTAATAAAATATTTAATTTAATTTATTTAAATATTATATTTAAGAGATGATATCCAATAAATTTAACGTTTAAAATTTGTAATTTTTTCTCTATTCTTATCCAACGATTTTTTTTTTCATTAAAAAAAAAATTCTAAGCAACATCCCAATATATAATATTTAAAATTTTGGAGGCTTCAAGTTCAACTCTTAAGTGAAGAAGAGTGAAGTTTACTTTATCTTAACGTATATATAGGGCTGAGAAAACAAGAAAAAAAGCTTGGCAAGTTTGGAAAGCAAAATTTTTCTCTCATGCAATGAGAACACCCTTGACCATGACACAAAGAGAAGAGCATTGTTTCAAAACACGCTATATTGAGTTGCAAAATCGTGGATGAAAAAAAATAGTTGTTACATATTTTCGAGCTTTTCCTTTACCCAAAAAAACAGAAAACGAGTTGTCAAGACTTGCCCTTGAGTCAAGTGAGACGGCTAACAAGTTGCTTGGAACGGACGTATCTTTGCATATGTGGTGTGATTGTGGTTTCATCATTCAAGCAATAGTATGGTTGATAGCTTTCCAATTGGTTAGATTTTGGTTAGGTCTTTTGGAGAGTAAGAACCGAAATTGGGTAGGAAAAATGCATATGATTGAGAAAGCTCATGGCCAATAAGTGTGTTATTATTATTGATTTTGATGGATGGAAATGAAAGGTAAGTCGACATGGGGAAAAATACAAGAGGAAATAATAGTGTGGAAAAGAATTGTTTGTGGTTTTGATTACGCTAAGAATGGGACGTCCGCTCAATGTTGGAACTAGAAAAGGATTTGGCCATTGAATTTTCGATGCTTCCTTCTAAAAACCATAGCATGCATTTTGAAATTATTGTGCAAAAAGAAAGGTAACCAAATACGATAATCTTTGATTAGATTGAAAAATTTAACGTTTTTATTTAAAGATATAATAATGCTAATTGAATTAATGTTTGAATTCTTCTTGTCACGAAGATATACTTTAAAAAAAATACTTAAAAATTTTAGATTTAAATATTTACGTCATAAAAATATGATAATAAATTTTATTTAAATTTGAACCTTTTTAAGGAGCTTAATCGACTCTTAATTAATTTAATTTATTTAAAATTTTAGTTTCACATCGCTCTACAAAAAATAAATCATAATTAATAAAGAAAATGGAACCTCGCTTTATCAACTGCACCGTAGGGTGACAATAGATTTGAAAAATGTGAAGCCGTAGTTCAAAGACATGGATGACTTTGCTTTTCAAGATGACCTAAAAGAAGAAGTTTGACAGGAAACCAAGCAGAAGTGAACAGGTCCAAAAGTGTAAACAATTTGTAAAGTTACCAAATGATGGCACCGCCCAATAATTGTGGGGTTGACACATGCCAGCCGTCAGATTCAGCTGCAGTTGCATTTTTATACTTATTGCTGCTAAAACAACACCTAGAGCTAGCTGCTCAGCTGCTGGTGAGTACACTCCAAAACAAACGATTCTGTACTTTCGGAAACGTTTTTCAATTCCAATGATTTTTACCTACTTTGGACACTTGGCTCCTCTACAACTCTACCATAAATGTATTCATGAATATTAAAAATTGAATGAAATTTATTTTAAAAATTGAAAACAATAATTTTTTTAAAATTACAATCACTTTAGAATGAATTCTATAATTAATAGTATTCTAACTATTTAAAATTTTATAATCTTATAGCAAAAGATAAAGAATATTTAGATTTTATAGAAAATAAAATTTATTTTATTTTTAAATAAATTATAGAACATTACTTTAAAATAAAGATTGTTAAGTAAGTAAAAAGTAAATTTAATGATAAATAATACAAAAAAATACTAGAAAATAAATGAAAATTTGATTGTAAATCTCAATTTAAAACCTATTTAAAGATATACAAAAATAAAAAAAAAGATATAAATTGGTTAAATGAAAGCAAAAAATGTATAAATTTGACAAAAAAATTTGTTAGAATAAAAACTTTAAAAAAAAAATCCAAATACAAATATTTTATTTGTAATGAGGAAGGTCATATAGCACCTCAACGTCCTAATAAAAAAAAAATGCTAAAAAAATTATTAAAACTCTCGAAGAACAAGATTTAAAAATTTGTTTGGGAAAAGAAGTTTTTGAAGATGAAATTATTTATGAATTAATTTCTGAAATAGATTATGATTATGATGATGATGAGTAAATTTTTATGCTTAATACCAGCAGCAATCCTAATAATAATACTATATCGAAAGTTAATAATCGACTTAGTTTTGAAACTAAAAATACACCTACTAAAGAATAGCAAATGATAAAATTAAGTGATGTCTTAGAACAATATGTTACTATTTCAAACGAATTGTTAGAAAAACTATAATCATTAAAGAAATATAAACTTTTTATCTTTTCAAAATTCAAACCATGGATAAAAATACACATAGAAAAATTCAATGGTAATA